CCAATAGCCTAAATAGGCAAGGTATGCTCTAACTAAAACATCCCAGTACCCTCAAACACATGTTGAAGTACATGCAACACTGAAGTCCCGAAACCATCATTGGCACGTCGCGCTGATGGTGAACTACAATGGTAGATGTCCCTTGCACAAAGAGAACCATGTAATGATGGCAGCTGCCCGAATGTAGTCATTGGCTTAGGTAACTACACCGAAGACGAACTCTTCGTTGAAAGCCAAGAAAAGACAGAGGGTAGAGCCGTCTCAAAAGGCGTTGCCGGAAGGGCCAAAGGGTTCTTCAGGGTTCGTGGGTGACAAAGGGACTCACCCATTTCTGTACGAAGAGGCATGCCAGACTTCAGAGCTCTGAGAAGCCGGTAGGAACGGCCTTCGCTGCCCGGAGTTTAGGATTAGGACCTCATGGCCCAACGCAAGAAACAGCTTATCAGTTGCACGTTGCGACCGGGCATGGAAGTCTGAAGTGAAGAGCCGTCTTAATATGCTGAAGCCTAGGAATGTAGATGCGACTGTAGTGAAGCTTGCGCAAGAGTGCGCACGAAGTCTCAGTGTGAGTTTTCCTTGTCGGGGCAATGGTGGATACATGATACCTCCACATGTATGATGCTGCACACAGATGAGCAACACTTTCAAAATGGCTGGAGACTACAAGCATGAGGCGCAGAACTCCCTTTTTTGAAAACAAAGCGATCCGTGCATCATGGAGATGGACGTCAATCCTTGACCTTGCAGAGAAGCAAAAACAAACCGTGCAAGTGACGCGCTGTGGACACAGCGAAAAGATCGGCTCAAAGTCGGCCTTGATGCGCGCGTCCAGCTGTACATAGTTGCACTCCTCAGAGGCAGCAAAGACTGCAAAGACTGTGCAGGGAAAGCGTGGGGCGTTGGCCTGTTGAGGCATGACGTTGACCATCACCAGGGGCGTTTTGGCTTCGATGGCTTTCTTCACTCGCCTTGAGTCGTGACTGTGAGGCTGCGGCCAAACGGTCAAAAGGAAGACTTCTCCAAGCGGCTCCGTCGATCGAGACTCGCCCTCGAAGTCCGCAAAAAAGGCATCCGATTCCTTCCGAACGTAGTACCTGCAGACTTGGACGCGCTTACGGGCGGCTGGAAAAAGAGCGAGCCTCGCCTTGCCAGCTGAGGGCCTAAGGAGGGCCAAACCATGGGAGGCCGGTGCAAGTGGAAGTTGTCAATCACCTCTGCAGCTGCAGAGCAGGCACTCTGCAGCTTTTCACGGGTGGCAGTGCAGACTACTGCCCTATAAACCCTATAAACCCTATAAACCCTATAAACCCTGTAAACCCTGCAAACCCAAAACCCTGTAAAAGGGGCGGCCTTCAGGACTGAAGGATGCCAGACCACCACGAGAACCTGCCGGCCGCCGAAGCCACTCAGCACGAAGCGCAGGCTCTCCCCGATGGAGTTCACGCCGTAGACGTCCTTAGAGGTATGCTGCATTTTTCAGCCCGGTCCCTCATCACACACTCTTCAGAGCCAAGCATCGTTGATGAAGAGAACACACTTCCCTTCGGGCTGATGGAAACCCATCATGTGTGCTGCCTGGATGTCTGTTCGGCCGCAGATGTACTGGTAGTGCTTACCTCAGGGCGCGTCTTCTTTTAGAGGGGCGCAGACACCACGCAAGTGTCAGGACCCCTTGGGTCGATTCCAATAGAAGCGCCTTCCGGCATTTGCTCCAGGAAAATGTGCAGATACTGTATGTATTCGAACCTCGGCTGTTTAACGATGGCGCAGTGCGCATTGCCCGGTAATGATTGCCGAATGTAATCTGTAGACTAGCCCTCGCCATTTTGCATGTCGGGGGCGCAGAGCAGCCGTACAGGGGCACGCGACTCTCGCAGCCCTTTGCAAAAGTTCCGAGGACATCCCGCATGAACTGCATCTCCTGCAATCCCGGAGCAGTATGTGCTTGTATGGGATTGATGCTTTGCTTTAGGGTATGACTGTGTCTGACCCTTTCCATGGCTCAATGCGCAGCTCGCTCAAGAAAGGGAGAGGACAACACAAGAAGAAAACAAGCCAAGTAGCTCAGCGACCATCATGGAACAAGTACGCTGACGATCAAGCACACCGATGATCTGGAGAGCACAAGCTCCCAACCTCATAAGACAAAGAAGCACGACAAGCCGCCACCAATGTCCAAGAGTAGCGAAGCCTTCCGCTCGCAAAAGTAGAGAAAGCAACGACAGGAAAATCAAAGCAGCAAGTTGGAATGGAATGGAGAAGTCTACTAACAGTCCTTTGACTTCTTGATGGGTTCGATGTCTCCAAGGACTGGAGGAAGGTTCATCTTCAGGCCACGGACCACCACCATGTGCATACCTCTGAAGGCCGAGAAGGGGGGGACCACCAAACAAACTCGACTCAAGGAGGCAGCTGCCGGAGGCGTGGCCTGGCTTCGCTTCGCCGGCGAGGAACTTGACTGTCTTGTCCTGGGACACCGCAGCGCGCAGAACTCACAGTCCTCCCAGTTCATCGACACACACATCCTGAGCTTTTTCGCCAAGGCACGCTGAGGTAGATGAGGATCTCCCTCAAATCCTGCTCAGTCTCACCTGGGGCACCCGACACAAGAAAGCCGTCCCCCCAATTTTCCAGGAAGGAGCCGAGAAACAGATACAGATCTTCTGGTGCTCTGCGATGACGTCGTAGAATTGGGTGTTGTAGAGCACCTGGGCAGCCCAAGCATTGACACGGGAGGGACACCACTCTTGACCGTCCATGGCCAACACCGTGTCAGAAGCCACTTAGCGCAGGAACACGCAACTAAGGTCCAGCACATGCTCTTGCTCCTTTGTGGCCACCAGATTGTCTTCAATGGCCCAGGCCTGGCCGGCTTACGGATATGATTTGATGTGTGGCCGATAACCCAAGAGCCACCAGGCAAGTGATGTGTGAAAATGCAACTTCCGACGATGCGGGCAGCGACTTGCCGTGCGAAGCTGCTCGGCTGGGTCTGCAAGTGGAGGCTTATGTTGCATTTGCCGGACAGGGAGAGGTGAAAGTTCGGAGCTGCCTCTCCCTGCGTACGCAGGAGTGTCATGCTATCATATGCTATCGTGTGGATAACATGTTCGGTCCGGGGGATGCCTGACACAGTCATACATTGGGGGTTCCGGTGCGGCGCCCTGGCACCGTGGCTCACTTCCGTGCAGGAAACACTGCCGTTCAGAGACTTTGCGCCTTGTTGTTGAAAAGGAAAACGTTGGTCAAGGAGTTGGCAGACTTTCCTGCCAAGAAGCGGGCTTCTGGTGTGTACGGCAGGCGCCCCCTATGTATATGCTAGCTTCAAGGTGGCATCCCTTGCCTTCCATCAGGTGCAGAGTGAGCTCGGTCCCTCCGTTCAAACGGCAGGCTCCGTCCTCGGCTCCGATCACGAAGCGTGGGAGAAGAAAACCCTTTAGAAGCTGATCCAAGTGGCTCCAATGTAGAAGTTGTAGACGCTCTTCCTGGCACGCTGGGCGACACGCTCAGTGAGCCCGGCGGGACGTTCTCAAGACAATCGACAATGATCCCTCATGACAGTGTTCTGCTGTTTCTCTTCCAAGCCGCTTCTTCGCGAGCTCCTCCACGGTGATGACCTGCCCCAGCACGTGTGCGAGGGGTACACACAAGTTGGCTCCTCTTGGCCTGGTTCAGCTTCGACATGATGTGCCCTCAGCCAGGCGAAACGAGGGGCAGCCTGTTTTGACACTCCAGACTGAGGGTCGAGCCGATGCTGGCATCCCGAAGCATGGCCAAGCCATCAGCATCTGTGAGAAGCGAGGTACCCTGAAAACATCAGGTCACCAGTCCCTGAAGGGATGTAAGGGGGCTTGCACTGCCCCGGCCTCTGAAACGACAGTGGCCATGAGGACGGACACCTCGGTTCGGTAAGATTTCTCGAACACCTGCATGAGCGGCGTTCTGGGCTTTGAGTCCAGGGCTGTCAAACCTGTATCGTAGTAATTCTTCACCTCAATATCTCCATCGATTATCAACAGCAAAGTCACAGAGTTCTGCAAGGGAAAAGAAGACTTGCCAGGTGCCCTGCGATCGTCTCGGGACTGGAGCGAAGGATTCTATGCATGAGGGCAACTCTCGTGTGGGTAGGTCCCTAAATTAGGGTCCCATTTCAGGTCCCCAATACAGTACGGCACCCTTATATTATAGGACCCCAGAAGGGACCCCAATTTGGAGAACTACCCATGTGCCAGTAGCTCTCTTATCTTCGGCTCAGAGTCGTGGTGCGAGTGACGAAACAGCTCTGACTGTAGGCATTGGACGTCGCTCCACGAACCCGAACCCGCCATTCTCGCGCAGTCTCCATTTTAGCTCTGCCCTCATCGTGTCTTCGCACCACCGAAAATGGCAGGACCCCGCATTCCGCAGCGAAAGCCGTATTGTTAGCGAGAGTTCAGCATCGAAGCAGCTTCAAGTTTCGGGTTGCTGCAGAATCTGTGCAGCGCGCGCGGAAGGAAAACCTCACTGCAAGGTAAAGCTGAGTCAGCAGCTTCGCCAGCTTGACGCTGTTGGTGAACTTCACGTAGTCTGCCTAGGCAAGGGGTGACTGAGGCTGACTTGGACAGCTCGTGAGACTGGGCTTCCAGCCAGGCACTTGAATCCTCCCACCCGCTCTTTTCCGAATGTCAGCTTCGAAGGTGCCGGCAATGCCTGCCGTCTGCACTCAAGATTTCTGGTCCGACGGCAGGTCTCTCCTGCAAGGCCTGTGGATACCCATATGCCTGGCAAACTCAATCTGACCGCTGCCCCAATCAGAACTAGCCCGGACACCTTCTGCAAAAACGTCGTCTTTGTGTGGTCTCCCAGTCCCCAGGCAACTGGTCCTGGCCACAGTTGAAGGCAGGGGATCAAGCCCCAGGCGCCAGGCAGGTCTCGCCTCGCTCTTTGAGTGTGTGGCAGACCGCCTTCAGGACCTTTTTCTTGGCTGATGTAAAGCAGCAGAGGTAGCTTCAGCAAACGCCATGATTGAACAGCACGGACGTATTCGATTTTTTGTTTAGAGCCTGCTTTTGTAGCGCAAGCCTGCAGCTTCGGCCTGTGCCGATCCAGGCCCTCTGTGCATACAGCTAACATGCATGTCGGACACCATGCGAAGGGCACACTTTTTGTTGGTTCAGCTTTGAGGGCCATTCATTTCCTCGGCTGAGTGGCGGGTCACTCACCCAAGTTTCCTCTGTTGCAAACTCTCGTGGCTAGCATTGAAACTAGGATGTGAAGCGTTGTGAAAAAACGGGGCTTCACCACAACTGGCCCGCTGGGCCTCTGTCTCGTCAACACCGAGGATGTTCTGCTCTTGCGTGCCGATGGGAAGCATGCAAACCTGCTTAGAAGGGCCAAGACTAGAAGCGCAGCTGACGCATGTCTTGCAGTCCAAGCCACTCCTTTGCAGAGCACGATGAGGCGATCTGCCTGCCAAACAGTGTCTGGAAACGCATTGAAACGATGCGTCGGGATGAAAAGTGGATAAGTATAATGCCCCCTCCCGAAATCCTGAGCCATGGTAGGCCCCCAAAGCCTCCGCTGACCTGCTTTGTGGTCTGACCCGCTTTGCCTGGTAGGCCGCATCGAACTGGCCGTGATCTGACCGCAGGCACATGGTTGCATACTTCCCCGGCGTTCCTGCCAAAAGAACGGAGCCCTAGTAGACCCCATCTCTAAGTGCGCGAGTCTCTTCCGCCCCGTCCTATGTAGATGAGCAACTTGTCGCCCTCGGCAGCCCGGGGAACGGGCCCGAACCTCGAGGCGAAGCAGCAGTACGCTACTCAAAATACAATACAATATACTGTAAGTATATATATATATATATGTTTTATATTATACATTATAATATATCGTCAAATCAAACCACTCGGTTTTTGCTTCTGAGCTGGATGCTTGCTCTGCGTGTTTGGGATGGTATGCTGCCAGTCGGTCGCAGGGGCGACAAGGACCTTGGCCTGGCAGGACTTCCCTTTCGAGCCTCTTCGAACATCCTCCTCTTCTCTCCCTTCTCCCTGCCTTCTGGATGACGTCCTTGGAATCCTTGGCCGCCAACGTTTAAGGACGCCGCTACTGCGAAGGCTTTGCAAGTTTCTTTTGAACTGCTCCGAGTCGCGGAGCAGTGCTCCAAGAGGCTCTTGCAGTCGCCCGACACGGACGCGTCCTGCGAGTCGACAGCCGGTCTTGCAATGTGTTACATGACGTTCCATTACAGTATTTGATGGTATTTGCATGCTCGCTGTCCTGCGCGAAGACCAGCACGACTCCGTCGGCTTCTTTGATTGCCGTCGTGATTGCTTGGCAGGCAACTCGAGTTGCCCGATAGCTTTCCTCAGATTCGGGTCCGGAATTCACAGGGCTTTCAGGGTGCGCCCAACGCCAGACTACGTACGCATGCCAGGCGGCATCGCCGTCAGCTATTCTTGGCATCTTCAGCAGCTTGGGCTGTGCGCCCACAAAAGGCTTGTGGCTGTCCGGCACCTGTCCGAAATGATCACAACTCCGTCACATGGGGCAAATCTTGGCGTACGTCGTGCTGGCAGCGCTAGGATCTCAGAGGGCAGACGATAATTGTGCGGAAACCGATTTCAAGACAGAGGATCGGATTCGCTAACCAAGGTGACCAAGGTGGCCCCTGAGCCCCTTTTGCTCCCGGCCGCTAGACTTGCTCTGCATAGACATAGAGTAGGTGATGGAATCAACCCCGTTTTCTGCTCACTGCATGTTGCTCCCGCCTCATGCATGTGCTCCTGCGCGATGGCCTGGAATCGGGTGCACGAAGCATGCGGTCACTGGCTGCTCCCAGCAGGCCTTTGCGAACTCATCTGTCTTCTTCTGCGCATCGCCTGTGCTTTCTTCCACTCTCTACTTGGCTAGCGCCCTAAGCCGTGAGGCATGGGGATCAAAAAACCCAGCGACAACCATGGCCTTCTTGGGATCCTGACTGTTCAAGCTCCTGGCCGCTCAGCTCGATCTGAGTTCCATCTGCATCCTTCATTGGGCAAGAGTCTTGGGGCAAAAGGGAGTCAGGGGACTGCAAGGGAAGTCTCAGAGAGAGTTTGCCTGAAACCTCCTCTTGAGACTGCCAGTCCTCGGAGATCGCTTGCGATGTCTCGTGACTGGCAAACAGCTGCAACTAGGACATGATGCAACCAAGTGGCTTCGCCATAATTAGGTCAAAATCTGCAAAAGTCTTCTTGAAGCTGGAAATGCCCACGCGGCCGCAAACCAATAATGGTGCAGATTGTATGAGCTACATCTTAGGCGACCCTCCTGCCACACTCATTGGTGATGGTGAAGACTGTGGTGTTGTGACGATGATGACGACATTGCGGAAGGCTTTGCGCAAGCTTTCGGAGAACTGAAAATTGTCGGCGTGTGGCTGCGAAGCTGGGCGCCACAAAGTCGAATGGACTGCCGGGTGGCGGCTGATCAGCTGTGAAACAGCAGCATTGAGCATAGCGTTTCCCTGCGGGCAACATGCACTACCGTTGTTGCAACTTCAGGCCTGCAGGATACATCACGACTGCTGCAAATCTGGAAAAGCTGAGCTCTCTGATGCTGGTTGAGGGCGAACCTGCAGTGTGAAAGCAACCGGGACGTCCCTGCTTCAAGCAGGTACCATCACGGCGGCAGACTTGCAAAAGGCGTTCTCACCCGCAGCCGCGCGTCGGCAGAGCTCCATGCTCCCATCCCTCCGGTAAGGCACACAGAGAAGCAGAGAGCCGCTTAGAACTGGAAGGTGTGCCCGACCTCCAAGGAGAAACCAGCCTGGCCTGCATCACCGATGCTAGAGCATCGAGTGTGGCTTGCCTGGAATCGCAATGACGGCTTCCCGTTTTGCTTTGCTTTGCTTCGGGGATGGGGTGTGGGCAGACCCCACACAAAGCGCTCCAGGCGCTACTCGCTCTCTCTTTCTTTCGCCAGGTCTGCAACAAAGTAGAGACCTGCACCTGTCCCCCGTACGGAAGAAGATACAAGACCTAGAAGATTTGCTACGAGGGCAGGTTTCGTCTCCCCCTGAACGATTAGTTTTGCATCATATTGAGCCCATCTGGTGGAAGGCTGCCTAAATGAATGGGGGTGGACTCGGTGGCTCTATGATGCTCACATATGACTCATCATGAACAGTTTTCATTGCCTGGGAGGTCTTTTGCTTGGCGCAGTAGTTTTTTTTTTTCTCTCTCTCTCTCTCTCTCTCTGCGGTGCCCTCGCTCCGCACCTGCGCCGCTCGCTTGGCAGAAGCGCATCCCTTGGATGCGACGTGAAAGGGAGGTCCTGGCTGTCATTGCATCTCGAGACTTCTTCCCCATGTGCTGTGGGCAAGAACCGCCAGCTGCTCCGACACGTGGCTGACACATTCCAGGCAGGTGATATCCTGGTGCGGTGGTGGGCCGGGCGGGGGGTCGGTACCAAAGCGTCTTTTGCTGCAGCCTCGCCTCAGCCCTAGTTTCCGCCGCTCTGCACTTGACACTCACTGCATCGGGACCTGCCCACGAGTAGTCCGTCGTTGGCCACCGGCTTTTCACGAGAAAGCACTGGGCCTCGTGACCTCCAGTTCTCGAAGTCCCCTGTCGGGTCCACGAACCACCTGGAGCGAGCTCGAGACAGGGCGCCCCTTACACTGTGAGCCGCCACTCAGGCAGCTGCTCTTCCAGAAAAAATCCCGTGGCTCGCCTGCCCATCACTTGCTCATGCTTGCTCTTGCCGCAGCCCAGGTGCACCCGCATGAGGGAGAGGCCGCGCCTGTCCTCCACGGTGCAGACGGCGAGACGAGTCGCCTCTGCACCTGGCGCACCTCTGAAGATGAGCTCCGCACTGGCAAACGGAGGTGAAACGCGCTCCGCGAAGAGCTCTTGCCTTGCGCCACGGCGGAGCTGGCCTTGCAACACCACGGATTATATAGTGAGGCCAGGAGCTACATAAGGCCACTTTTCAGGCCGCTCAGACGCTGACAGCTCTTGGCGGCGAGAGCGGCTGCGCCTCCTGGCAGAGGGGACCGAACCCGGCGTAGGGTCTTCACTTCATTTCGGTGCATTGGTGCCCACGTGCTGATGTGAGGGCTTTGGACTTAACCAGATATATCGGCGTCGCCGCAGCCTCATGTCGGCAAGCAGCACTTAAACAATTTGCAGCTGGTGTGCTCGCATACGGCCTGATGGGATCCGTTGACATGCCAGAAGTACGTGAGCACTCTCTGAACACACAGAAGCAAGAGCCAATGCGAGATCACACGGCCGCAACGCAACAAACACTTGCGAAGGGCCCTTTGTCGTCTCCTACACCAGAGGCGCACGTTTGGCACCCACATGGACGAAGCCCTTTCGAGGGACAGAAACGCAGTCTTACTTCTGATCCTCATTGGGTGACTCGTCGAAAAAGGTTTGTCGGTCCACGACATTCTTCGTGATGTTGGAAATGAAGGGAACTCCATCCGGATCTTTTCCATCTAGGTTGCAAAGCACCGCATACCTGCCAGGCTTGCTTTCTAATCATTCAGCCATTTTTTTGGCCTCACAAGCGGGATCAGAGCACAGGCCGCCGATGCATCCGAGTCGCACGGAGATGCCAAAAACCAATGCGAAGACAAAGGCGCCACCCACGAGAACCGCCTGAGAGGATCGTCCAGGAGACTGCATGCAGGGAGCCGCGCACAAGACGTGCCTCGCCAGCGCCGGAAAACTGCATGGTTGAGAGGATGAAGCTGGGAATGGTCAGCGCCATGTCTAGCAGCACGGCCTGTCCAGCGAAGCCTGTTCTGTACCTAGGCTGGCGCCTTAACACATCCCTGGGCCTGCTCGAGGTTGAAGCGCAGAAACCTGGGCACATTGTCCTCAGCTGCTCAAAAGTCTCTCGAGTCGGGCCACCATGTTCCACCAAGGTCAAGCTACCTTGGACTGTGCAAGGACAATGAAGAGCACGAAGAGGAGCAACGGGACGAAGGGTGCAAAGTTCAGCAAGACTGTCAGCAAGGTGATGGGGCCGAAGACGATTCCCAGGGGAGGGAAGACCTGAATCAATGGCAGCATCAGCTTGAAGGCCTCCGTGACGGGCAGGATGTAGGCCAAGGACCCAAGCAGCCTCGGGCCGAGACCTGGGTACAGGCACTCTTGAACATGCAGACAAAAGAATGGACAAAGGCAAAAAAAAATACCTCAAAGAAGACAACAAAAAGAGAGACCCCCAAGGCCCCCCAATAAACTCTCAAGTTAAGGGGGTGCGTAGATCATCACTCTGCGATCGGCGCGCTGCGATCGTCTTGCGCCTCCTGCGGAGCCGACGTCCCCGAAGTGGAGCCTGCCTGGCTCGGGGCCTGCGCCGCCTGGGCCCTCGCGGCCTCTTCCCTTCGGCGCTGCTCCTCGGCCTGCGCCTGCTCGGCCTTTCCTGGGTTCTGGTTAAGGGATCTTATTTAAGTTACCATAATGGGGATCTATAGTATAAATAATATGGCTTCTTTACGATGGTAACTCAAATAAAAATCCCGTAACAAGAGCGCCCAGGTTCTTGCTTCCGCCTCGATGGCTCTGAGCTTCGTGTCGAAGGTCTCGGAGTTCAGCTCCTCGAAGCGAAAGAAGTAGGGCTCCTCTGAGAGGCCCAGAGCCGCAGCCAGGGCCAAGGCCTGCTCACCGGTCAAGCTCACACCCTCTGTTTCCTGAAGCCGCGCCATCAACTCCGGCAACCTTATGCGGGCGGGTCCAAAGACTTACACCAAAACAGGCACTGCCATGGCTAGATATGAACTGCTGATCTACTATGGCAGATGGAACAGAGAAAAAAAGGCGGCGTCAAGGAGAAGGCTGCCAGGAAGCCCAATGCCCGGCACGTCCTCGCTGCCAAGGAGCCGTACGGCCCGCGCCTTGCGCTGCGCCACGGCCGTGGCCTGGCGCATCTCGTCGGCTTCGGCCCGCAGCTTCGCAGCCTCCAGCTGGAGCTTCGCGGCCTCCGCCGCGGCCTTGGCCTCCGCGAGGAGCGGGTCCTCCTCCCCGGCCTTCAGCGCCACCCTGACGGCCCTGCGGTTGCCGCTGCTTGCGCTGCAGCTTTGTAGCACCGCTTTTCTGGCGAGGGTGCTGCCCAGGCCAAGGGCAACTAATCTCACATGAGGCTTCTCCAACTCCGCACTGGGCGCCCTTGCACGGATGTGCCCAGGCGTCAGCACATGCTTCAACTTGGGCGTGACCGGGCTTGTTGCGATCAGCATGTCTTGCATCTCACGAAGCTCAAGCAGCGCTTGGTTTTGAGAGAAGATGCGGCAGCATGATGCGCAACAATGCATTCACAGCGTCACAAAGTGGCACGTGGTGTTAACCCCCTTGCTACCTTGCCACTGCTAAAGGAATTTGCCCTCTTCGTTTGCTGCCGCAGCATGCTCACCAGGCCAGCAGGCAAAACAGTGCAACGAATCACACTTCACAAACGATGTATACCCCAACTAGCAGCAAGCACCAGCGCCGGTGCGGTCGGAAACACGCCTTCCTTGCTTCCTGCCTCAGTGAGCAAAGACTTCTGGAATTGAACAAGTCCTGTTGAGACAACTCCGCATCTTCGAAACTCTGCTTCCAACGGCCTTGGGCTTGGGAAGTCCGCCGCCCTCAGCCAAGCTTGGTCAAGGCTTGAGCTCGACGCACAGATCTCTCGAGATGCGGGCTCTGCTTGCCGGAGCCACATATACCAAGCTCTGCACAGAGCAAGCCTCAGATCTGCACAACGAAGATGCGCAACTACCTAGCTTCACCTAGTCATGGTCGCATAAGGCGACCACGAAAGCGATTGCGAGGCTCCGATACCAGGCCTTGGACAACTGCAACAAAAAGGGTACAGGTGCCCAAGTTCATACAAGCCTTCCAGCAACGGTTGGCTCCCATGGCTCGCATGGCGGTCATATCAGCGACATAAACAAAACGAACAGTCCTGTCCCTTTGCGCCAAAAAAGCAAATGATCAGAGGCGGCTTGCTACTTCTACGAAACCTGGAAGTCCATATGCCATGTCGAGCATTGCTTGGACCGCGGCGGATACGCCAAGACAGCTCCGAAGCTGGAGCGTGCAAAGTGCAGGCACTGCTATACGCTCGCCGCGAGCGCCGCTTGTTGAGCCGATCTCCGGTTGGTAACGCGCTCTGACGAGAACGGCAGCCAACGGGAGATATGAACGGGCATGGAACTCACTGCAACCCTTTAACTGCTAAGGACTGTCTGCTCCATCTTGGTGCTAAGGCTGGGGAGAACCGCGCGGGAGACCCGAATACGGCAACGTCTGAATTGTGAAACGCTTTCCTACAGCGGCAGCAGCCTGATTGAAGCTGCCAGCAAATAATTGTCGACTGCCCCTCAAGAATTCAAGACGGGCGTCACTTCCGGCAAAGCCTGAACTTGGAAAGTATGTCTGAAAGCACGAGCATCAGCAGGAAGACTACGGTTCAGGCCATGCCGGCATGTTTGTGCAAAGCGGGCAAGAGACCAGAATGAACTCAATGACCTTTGGACAGTAGACATATCTATTGGTGTTCGACCTATCTCAAGCACGAGCATCCAGCACTCTAGCTTGAACCAGCTCAACCTGGAATCATGGGAGAAGATATCGAGCAGGTAATAAGGTCCTGTCTCTTACCTCGCATGTGAGCGTGATGGTTTACTGCTCAAATGGATGCTTCCTACCGACGAGCCGGGTGAGGTGTCTGCCAGCCTCGGACCTGCTTTACACAATCTTTAACTTGGTTCCAGAAGGACCACTAGCTTTACAGCAATATGGACATGTCTGTAGACTTAAGCAGGCAGACAAGGACACGGCGATTCCCCGAAGCATGCCTGCATGTGCATGCACAAAGTGCTTTCAGCATTGGCAGGGGTCCCACTGCATCTAAGCATCCGACTACAGAACAAAACGCTTCGCCCAAGGCCAGGTGCTACTGTACAGATCTCAAGCACTTCATGCCGGCCATGCTGGTGGCATCATTCATTGAATGAGACTCTTTGCCCCTGAGCCGCTTCTGTGACAAGGTTCGCCCTGCCACCATGAACCGCGTGTCAGTCTTGAGGGGGACATTTAACACCAAGGCTTACTGCCAAGAATTACGATGGCTTGGTCACAGGCCTTGGGGACTTTTTGGGCCATGACAGACATCTCGCCCCGGCTCACACGCATAAACGAACAAATGCAGCAACCAGTTGAGTCCATTGGAGCTCCAGCACCGGTGCAGCGTGCACAGATTATCGCGTCTCTCCCCAGCAGTGGGGCCTAAGTCAAGCACGCCATGCCCCAGGCACCCAGGCACCCCATGGGAACTCCCTGGGTTCTTGTGAAGGGATCTAATGTAAGTTACCATAATAGGGATCTATAGCAAATGATATGGTTTCCTTATTCTGGGAACTTAAAATCAATCCCTTAACAAGAACCCAGATCCGTGTTGCAAACATCTCTCAAAAAAGCGAGGGCCGCGCTGCCGCAAGCGCCGGACCAGGCGCACATCCTCGGAGCTCAGGGTCACGCGCCGCCGATGGGCCGTTGCCTTGAAGAACAAGCACAACAAAAAAAAATCATGCATGCGAGGTCTTTCTTTTGTTTCTGCAGTTGGAAAAAAGAGGGGTGTATATCTGAGGTCGAGGCCAGATACCCATCGGCAAAGAGGTACATTAAGTACTCCTCAAAAGGAATCTCTTTCGGGGTGCTTCTTTTCGTTTGCAAAGCCCTGCTGCACCATGATTCATTGAATAAAGTCTGCTGGCGCAAGGTGCTGGAATGGATCTCCTCGGTGGCCGCCTGCAGGAGTTCCAGAGCTTCCGTGCTGAAGCGCAGGGGCTCCTCAGGAGCGAGGCCCGGCCACAGTTGCGGAAGACCCGAAACCATTATGATTACTATCATTATTGTTATGATGATGATGACTATTTTTTATTAAAATAATACTTTTTTATTGTATTTATTACAAGACCAATATGGTGCCATAGGAAGCCATCTCCGCCCGCCGTCCTCGGCGAAGCTGGACCTGCTCAGGAGGGAAGGTACAAGCGGATCGCTCCCAGAGCGGCGCTCAGGCACGTGCTGGATGTCTTTGACCACCCGGGCAAAGGCTGCTTTGGGGATCGAGAGATAGTTGTGCGACTGCGAGTGAATTGAAAGCAAGGGCACTGCTCAAGATAGCCAGCACTTGCTTGCATAAGCCGCAGTAGCACGAGTGTCCTGCTGCAGCCGGTAGATCTCTCGGTCCACCCCACGCCTCCTTGAGGCGCAGAGCTCGGAGCACCGTCGAACTTCTGAGGGCGGGTGCTGGGCCCCGGGCGCCGGACGTGCCTCGCGGGGCGCCTCGCGCGGAGCCTCCACGAGGTCCTCCCACGGGCGCTCTGAGCGCCCCGGCGGCGGACGGTCTCGTCGGACGCCGCGCCTTAACACGAAGACCGGGTCTTCGAAATAAAAGCATCTTGTCAAGGAAGACTGATTCCTTCTTCTGAATCACGTCGATTTCGAGTCTGCTTGCACTTCTGGGTGTCTTTTTTGTCGATGTTCTCCTGTGGCTTCACTTCCTCGTTCCTCAATACTTCTACGGTCCACGACTCAATGCTGGCAACATGCGGCAAGCCTACACTTAAATCACACTCTTCAGAACGAACAGGATGTTGAGTGATTCTATATGACACTTTCGCGTCACATCGAAGGCTTAGCTTAGGCAAGGGCCCAGCCGACGATGGTGCGGCATCATCTGGCGGCTCCCTGGCCGATCCTGAAAAACTGGTGACAGCAATTGGAAGACTTTGGGCTCCGGCGTCTTCCGACTTCCCCAGCCTTTTCCGGATGGGCGGCCTCTGCCACGAGCCATACACGCCGCTGCCCCTGACGCAATGGGAAGGGAGGAAGGCTGAGGACGGGAGGGAGCTGGCGACCCGAACCAGCGCCTGGGGGGGCCTGTGGCAGCCACGCCAGGGCCACCGGCAAGCGAGCCAAGCACTGAGGAAAGAACGTAGACCCGTAAGCTGCTAAAGGCTCGTGGAGGTGTCGGCTCACTGACTAGCAGTCTTTGAGAATCTGAAGAAACCACACAAGCTTTCCACGCCTCAAAGTCGGGCTCCGCTGTCGTTAGCACCGCACATTGATTTTCAATGCGCGCCTAAACCCCGCATCGGCGGCGAGGGGCTGTGCCACAAACGAGCCTGCTGCCCCTGCCGGCCAACAAGCCCAAAAGCGCAGGCTTCTGAGGCCTCGCTCGGGTCTCATTAGGGCCGCCCGCCCTCACTTGGCCAGTGGCGCAAGGCGCCCGCCCCGGCGGGATTGGGGAGGTCCTCCCGACTCCATCGCAAGAGCAAAGAGCAGAGGGTTTTTTGTTGGTGACCCGTGCGTGACCAGGGCCTGGAAGTCGGCGCCGGTGTACTGCGAGCGCTGGGACCACCTGCCACAAGAACCGCTCTCTTCGGGGGAAATAAAGCGAGCTTGAGAAACCGCCTTCCACTCTTGGCCCGAGGTGCACTGGAGCGGTTCGGTCGCACCTCGAAATAAGAGAGAGGCTCCGCCCTACTTAGAGAGACTCCCTGGCTCCGCTGACTCAGAGCCTGCCCCTGGCGGGGGAAAAGCAACTCGCCATCGTCGACCACGGAGGGCCTCAGAATTTTTCCTGCGCTGGGTCAAATCACTGGTAGACTGTGGCAGACTGTGGCGAGGCCGAGGCTTCAGTGACAGGGCATCCAGGAAGCTTGCGCCTTCCGCAGATCCATTTCTGGCCTACCAGAGACCGCCAGTCACGAGCTGGTGCCTTTGGAGTCCGGCCGGCCTGATTTGGTGTTCTCGGTTCCGAAATGCAGAACATCACATGTTTCTTGCCCTTCAGCAGCCGACTGTGGCTCTGAGGTGGCGGGGCTGTCCCATCAGTCCCGCTGCGAGCACAGCTGCCCTCAGTGTCCACAAACTCTCCCACCCGCCGGAACTCCGAGACGTTTTGGAAACTGAGCACGCCACTGAGCAAAGAGCCCGAAAGAGCTCAAACATTCAAACATCCTGATGCATTGTGATGAGCCGTTGCGATGCGACGTCACACGATTCCTGTCTGCAGTGCAGTCGAGCCTTCTCTGACATGAGGCATCTGGGTCAGACTGAGACTTCCCCCAAGACCGGCAAACAAGCTTCGACCTTCAAAGGCCTTGTCTGGGAGGCTGTGTGCGGCTTGCAATTCATTGAATCCTGCATCCTTCTAGCTTGCATCATGATTTCTGTCCTCCAAGCCATGCACAGCAGAATGCTGCCTTCCGAATAATCAGCATCCTCCAGGCCAAGTCATAACACAGGCCCGAAGTCAAATCGAAGCTTCTCATCCCAAAGACCTTTAGAGAATGGGCTTCCCGAATGTGGCATCTGGCAAGCAAAGCGCGCCATTTTTCTATCGATAAGCAGCTCCCTCTTCACTCCTCGGCTGTCTCCGTGTGAAATGCCCCGAATGCCCCGTGCCAGTGCTCAAGAACCCTGCTGCGTTTAAGCCGGTGGCCTCACGGTCCTCTCGCACCCATATCTTCCTGCACAATCGGGCACTTCAGAAGGATACTGCTAAATGGCTCTTCTGACTGTACTTCGTTCGCTTCATCTCCAGTGTGCGGAACGTTTTCGCGGCGGAGAACACCGGTTCCATCCCGCAAGTGCAGGCAAGAAGTCCTTCCTCGGAGCTCGCTGTCGGTCATCATGTTGATAGCCTTCCTTGCCTCCCTGGGGGTGCTGTACTCCACCAGCGCGCAGCCCTTCGAACCTGGTTGAAGGTGCTCTGCAGGAGCTGTGTCGGAGCCAATACCCGAGGGCTCGGCCCAGCGCGGTGCCGGGCTCCTTGAGGATCTGGCAGAACCTCCCCCATCTACCCGTTCACACACGTGCTCCCTCAGTCGTTCTTAGGCAACCGACATCACTTGGCCGGCATCCCGCATGTGGTCCTGGCCACGAAGACACCTTCAAACCCGCGTACTGGCCCCATGTCCTGGCGACTGACCTTGAGCTCCTGCCAGGTCACACCTGGAAAATTTTGCACCGCATCCACGATCCGCTACGACGACTCGGTGCAGAGAGAGGGGAGAGTTGCAGGGGGCCCTGCTGTAGGCCAGGTTCCCGACAAAGACTCGGCAGCCGCTCCCTGGCGCTTTTTCCGGAGCAAGGCCCGGTCTTTAGACGTGCGGGCGCATGCGCCTCCGCCGCCCTCGGCGGGGTAGCCTCCACGAACCGGTCGCCACTTCCGATCGTCGTAGGACCTCGCACAAAAAAAAGCCTCCGCCACGGCTCCGGAGGCCCCCGGGGCCCCGGCCGACTCCGTGCCCGCATGGCCTAAGAGGAGAGGGGGTCTTCGGTAGCTCCGAATAGCTGCGTGGCGGCCGCACTGTAGCTTGTCTTCTAGCTCCGTTTCGGCGTAGTGGCTTCTGCTACATCTGTGCATGCGACTTCTGTCACCGAGTTGTGTGTTTGCTCGTCGGTACCATGGTGACGCTGTGTCACCCTGTGCTCTAGATTGCTCTTGTGTCTGCACGATGTCTATAAGCAACAGCTTTCACGGCCGCTTGGTCAGGGGTGATGCTTTTCAGTATGTTTGACTGCGGGTGTGAACTTCGACGCAACGCAAGTCACGTCAATCGCCTGCTTATATTCCTAGGACCACGAAGCTATTGGCGCCGGGACGCCGGTGCACGATCCTGCAGGCGCCGTCCTCCGACCGTCGGGCCCCCTGGGCCCCTCTCAGCCCTTTTGTTGGAGTCCCAGTCCTCGGTATGGGGCGTCGTCCTCACGGTCCTCCCCTCGCGTTGAAAGAGCGTTCCTCCCTCTCCTGCTGCAAAATCAAAGCGAGGCGGATCGGCGCACGAAGATCAGCCGGCCCTTCAGCTCCGAATCGGACCTCTGCTGCTGATATGTAGTAGAAGAGAATATATGGCACGGCACTCGGCAGGGAAGCAGCGCAGCAACGCAAAACGGCACGGCACCAAGGTCGCCGCAGGTCTCGAATGGCCCTCTGCGCCGATGCGGCGGAGGCGTACTCCACGATACCTGCGGAGAACAGCAAGCCGCGCTTTGCGTGGGGCTTTTCGCGTTTTGAGGCCCCAGCCGCAGCCCTTGGATCCCATCGCCTTGGCTTTGCGGGTGCCAGGAATTTGCGGCCTGGGCTGGGCGCGAGCTGGGCTCGAGGCAGTGCCCGGCTCCGCCAGAATGTCGCAGCGAAGGACCTCATGGAGAGTCGAATGCCAAAACTACTTGCAAAACGAACTCTCTTCTTCTTGAACTCTCTCTCCTTCTCGCTTCCTTCTCTCTCTGCTCTCTTCTCTCTCTCTCTTGCAGTCGCAGTCTAATTGTGCTCAGCTCTTCAGCTCGGGTCTGGGCTTCGCCACACTGCCGCATGTGGTCTTTCAAGGCCTCCGATCAGCCGAAGCGTCGGCTGCAGACACTGGCAAGACACGCTCAGTTTAATTGCTGTGCTCCGGCCTGCCAAGTCACGCTGTAGGGCAGATTCCTTGGCCGCATTTGGCGACTCTTACCTTTACTTGCGCCACAGATCCCCCAAAACAGGTCCGACTGAGAGCGCTCACCCGACGAACACTTTGCGGCCTGTCCCACAGGCAGATGCTTGGAGCTCAAAGGAAGCGGCTTCTTTCCACCTTGGGCCGGTCGCCGGGGCCTCGGACATGCCCGCAACCAAGGGTTTCGTTGCAGGGGCGACAAGGTCTCTGGGCTGTGGGCTCCCGATCTTCCCTGACAAAGATCTTGCCTCAAGACTTAAGCCGCTCAAGTCAAGGAACAGTCTCTCTGAGCCAGGAGCCCAACGCCCTTTGATCTCCTTAGGACTCTATTTGTCTGGCATGCAGCAGCACCAAAAAGCAGTCGTGCTGAGCTGCGGTATCTGTCAGCTGATTCACGGCTCGGGTCGCCTCCACGGCAGTGCCCCAACATCCCCAGCGAGTGAGCTTTGTCTCTCCACGGCTTGGTCTTGGTCTCTTGCAGCAGCCGCATTGGCAAACTCCACCAGACCTCTGAAGGCAAAGCAAAGGGGGCAGCGCTCAGCTCACCTTCCAGGCGGCTGAGGGCTCCGCCGCAGCCCTTGCTTCCCAAGGCCTGCAAGGCACCGGCATGGCTGCCTTGAAGCGGACTTCGTTTCTCCTCACCGTCCCGGGCTCGGCGAGGATGTCGCAGTGCAGCACCTGACCCGCGCTGCCGTGACGCGCCGAAAAACACAACGTCGGGGCCAGGGCATCTCCTGCTTGCCGCATGTGATCCTGAGACACGGAAGAAGAGAGCAAGGGGACTCCTCTACGCCGTTCTACGCTCCGCCGCTCCGCCGTTCGCTTCCCCGCCTTCAGTTCCTGCCAGGTGCAGCTGTAGGGCAGATTTCCGACCTGAGGGCTGAAAGCTTTCAACGGTGACTCCCAGTGGGCTATAAGGCCCTGATAAGGCCCAGAGTGGAGCGGCAAAGTGCGAAACGAAAGGGCTGCGGGTGCAATGCTCACGAGTCTCCTCTCTGCGATGACAACAAGGGGCTCTCTCTCTGCACAGCTTGATGGAAACAGAGGGCTTCGAAGGCGTTTGTTTCCCCGCTTCTGGCATCCAGTGGCTCTGTGGCTTCAGATGCGTTGAACTCTGCTCTCGGCAGTGCTTCGGTGCAAACTGGCGTGCTCGCACTCAGATCGGCTGAACCAAAACCAGTGACTAAACTTTTTGACCCCGCTCTTCGACTGGGTGACAGGCAAAGACGCTGTTTCCCGAGCACTCCTGGAAACGAAGGGTCGAAACCGCTCTTGAAGGTCATTAAGCTCGCAAGTCGAGGCGGCCTCCCCCCTTTGCCCCCTGCGCCCGGGCTTCTCTGCCAGCTCGTCGAGAGTCATGTCCTTGACAAATCGGTGCTGATCGGGGGGGAAGGAAGAGCCTTGACTGAGGCTGGTGCCAACTTCATACCGGAAGGCTTCCAAGCCATGCAGCCGAGGTGAAGCACTATCAAGTTTACCGCAATGGAAGAGGATGGAAGAGGCGCAGGGGGTCTGCGTACACTCTTGCCTCCTGGCAGGTCCTACTAGGTCCCACTCCATGTTCATCAGAGACCCGCCTACAGTATGTCAACACTGCAAATAAAGAACATTCAGGCTTGCAAACTCTCAACAAAGCCCTAAACTATCCGTTTCCATTCGTTGGGCACACTGCTTCAGGCATGAGCCGAAGTAAGAACCGGAGACCAGCATCGGGGCACCCGATCATCGTCCGCTCTCTTTTAAAGCCCGACTCTGCCCGGCCGGCTTTCCTTTTGGCCCCCTTTTTTCACCTCTGCCTCAGGCGGGCCTGGCCCGGGCCCGGCCCTGCGCCAGCGCCCTGCACACGAACACACACGAACACACATCCACGGCAACAACGCGCTCTTCCAGTCGGAAGGAGCCTCGAAGCCCAGCCAGGACCAGAGGCCCTAGGCTCGCAAGATCTCGCTTAAGCTGGCAAAAACGTGTGGAGTGCAGCGCGGATGTGCTGAGGCTGCTGCACCTCTGGATTCATTGTGAGGCTGGACCGGAGAAGCACGCTCCTGGACGTTGGCCATTACAATGGCATTGTCATCCGACACGTCCGTCTCGTTTCTCCGTAACCGGCACGCCGCTTGCCCTCGAAGCAGAGGGCAAAGAACGAGACTTTGGCCGTGAGTCTGCAAGCACTCTGACACCAATGAATCGCCTTTGGGCGATCATTGGCCCATCTTTGGAGCAACGTGCGGATCTTCCCCGTTTCGGGAGGCGTGAACATAAACGAATCTACGAGAAAAAAAGATGTCTTACGGCGAAGGTCCATCCCAGACGTACTCCTTGCAGAAAGGGCTCCGAGCACGTCGTTCCTTTTAGCTGGCAATCGGTCCTCTGTGCTCCCGAGGGAGCTCTTTCGCGGGAACTCCTCGATCGACTTCCAGACTCACAGAATCTCACAGACAGAGAGTAGATGAGGCACGGGCCTCATCCAATCGCGATGGAGTCGGCAGCGGCTCGGGTGGCTCGGAAGTGTCTGTCAGTGGCTCCGGCTGAGGCAGGTCGTGGATAATGCACAGGAAATCCTTTCAGGCAGATGATTCTGACTGCACTTTGATCGAGCCCACGCTCAAAGAGTGAGGCAGCGGCCCTGCGCGAGAGTCCAGGGCCCACCTCCCAGCCGAGCCTCCAGGGGCGCAGAGCGCTCCGGAGAGCAGCGTGAAGAGACTCAGAAAAACCCCACACACCCTCTTGGCTGCGCACTCGGTGAACATGTCCTGGCTCGCAGGTGATAATAGTAGGGGTAGAGGTAAACGAGCCCGCGGATGCAAAGGGAGGGAGGGAGCTCCATGGGGTCCTCGGGCTCCTCCAGCCGCTCTCGCGGTTTCGCCTGGCGCAGGGGCCCCCCGGGGATTTTCGACTCCAGGGCTTCAGGGCCCACCCTCGCCCAAGAGCGCATGCGGCGAAGCCTTTCAGGGTCGATTCTCGGCGCATGGGAAGGCGGTCACTTTTGGCAATTTCGAGGCTTGAGGCTTCCACGAGTTGACGGTGATGCACGTCTCGCCTCGGCTCAGGCCCAACAGGGGTCCGCAGCTTCCTTCTCCACGCTTGCGAGCTTCAAGAGCCCTTGAAAGCTGAGCACAGTGGCCCATTGCTAACTTGTCGAAGGCCTGGATGCATGCCCGATCCGCTGCAGAGTCCTGCAGAAAGGGCCCCACGAATCCAGCAGGCACTGGCTCTCCCTTTTTTTGTAGTGGAGCGGAGATTTTGGGTGTAGGTCCTGCCATGGCCCATGCATCCAGGACCGGGCCCCTTCCTGTGGTCACTGGGATTTTCTTGATGTTGCTGGCAACGGGGCCTGTTTTGACTGGCTCTTCTGGCGCCTGGGTCTCAAGAAGAAGCACCACCGCCAAAGCTTCGCTCCAGCCGAGGACCCCCGAGCCGTCGCAGTTGATGGTAGGGAGCACCTCCCCCGAAATTTGCCGGAACCATGTGCAAACCACATCTGCATCTGCATCTGTGTCTCCTTCCCTCAGCTCCTGGCACAAAGCAAGGCCTCGATCCACACTCTGGCAAGGAGACTGAGGGCGTGCTGATGAAGCTTGCGTCTGCGGATGCTGGCCTTCAGCAGCTGTAGGATCAGTTCTTGGCTCGGCATGAGCTTGGAGAGCTTCTTCATCCTGTGCAACGACGGCAAAAGGGGGAAGTCGGAAACAAAGGGGCAGCTGGGCCTCTGCACTGCAGCGGAGATCGACTGCTCAGTCAGCGGCCCTCGACACTGAGCCTCCAGTCTCAGACTGAGTCATGTCCTCTGCTGGGCCGTAACGGCATTGCAGGGCCTCCATGGCACGAAACATAGGCTGCAGCGAAAGGGTTTCGGAATCCTGCAAAAAAGAAAGCGAGGGCCGCTGACTGCTTCCGAAGTCAGTGCGTTTTGTCCGTTTCGTTGGTGTCCTCCAGCTCGCGAGCTATTGCCTGTCGAGTTCGAGAGCTCAAAGACGCGACACAAAGCCAGCGTCTGAGTGCGCCACAAGGAAGAAGAGACGTCTCATGGATTTGATTTGGGCGACGATGCTCAGGTCGGTAATGAACCTTCACTGCACTCGGGCTACCAAAAGGAATTCCACAAAAGGCATGGCAGGCCTGGGCAGCACCGTGTTGGCTGCATGACTCAAATCGGCCTCCACAGCTGCAGCCTCGTCATGAATTGCACGTGCTTTTTGAAAAATTTGCGGCACCTCCGTCGTAAGGAACTGACAAGCCAAGGATGTCTGGCAACTTGCTCGGCTGTCCTGGACAAGCGAAGCGTTTGAGGGCTCCCCAATGCTGATTTGGATGTCGTGTGCAAGGAACAGGGAGGGAGATCTGTCTTACAGTCTTGCAGCATCTCAGGCGTTCGCGGTCGATCTTCCGGCAGCATCTGCAAGAGTGACTGCAACCTTGGGGAATCTGGTGCACAAGCTTTTGGTGAAGCATGGCAGCCGTGCAGTGCTCGGCAGCCGGCAGATCCTGGGCAAAGCGAGATAGCCTTTCCCCGTCAGACAAAAGGATCGGCTCCTCACAGCTGTGAAATTCGATCGACACCTCTGGACCGATCCAAAAGCAGGCCGCAGGCCTCCGGCACCGCGGAGCCCCGCTGCTTAAGCTGGGAGGCCTCTCGGCCGGAGACGGATCAACGCGAAGGGCGCAGTTCCAAGGTTCGACACCTTGCTGATGCCCGAAGTTCTGCATGGCAAGAGCCTTCGAATCGAACAGATGCAGCCGAACGAGCACAAGTAGAGTGCACCCACGGTGGGCTTCGCCCACGCTCCTGCCGGTCAGCATCGCATGGAGGCAGATGCCGAGGGACCTGATCAGTGCCTGATAACTTCCTTCCTCACAAATCGTCTTCGCAGGGGCCACGCCAGATGTCGGCACGGTCCGCCATGTGGGCCACGACTTCACCTGAAAAGGATTGGGTTTCGGGGTCCTTGTCTTCGAAACTGCCAGGCCGGGGCTATCGTCCCGCACTTCAGGCGCCTCGACTTGAAGGCACCGATTGCGTTGAAGCAAAACGAACCTCTGTGGATCCGGCAATAAAGTGGTTTGTGCCGACGCCTCCCGGGATGGTCAGCTCCTGAACCTCGGATGTATGCCGTTCCGCCCATCTAAGAAGTCCTTGCTGGATGTAAGTGTAACTCTAAGTGCGATGGATTCTGGACCAACACCGTCCCTGCTTGGCAAGCACTTCCCAAAGCTTCCTACGCCAACGGATCCCTCCATTGCAAGCTTCTGCTTCGAAGTCGAAGGGGGAATGTAAATTTTATATTATATAATATATAACATATAATATATAATATATAATATATAATATATAATATATAATATATAATATATTATATATAATATTTAATATATAATATATAATATATAATACACAATACATAATATATCATATATAATATATAATATATATTATATACAATATAATGCATAATATATGATATAGAATATGTAATATATAATATATAACATATAATATGTAATATAGACTACATAATATATAATATATAATATGTAATATGTAATATATAATATATATTATATAACATATAATATATTATATATTATATGTTATATATGATACATAATATATCACATACAACATATAAGATCATATTCTAAAATTTGTATAACAAAATATACTATAACGTAACATAAATTAAATAGAATAATAAACAATATCATTGAGCGCTGCCGAGCGCCGGACCATCCTTCCGTCTGCCCCGTAAAGGGCCTGCAACGGCCAGGCGTGGCCGAAATCCTTGGGCCAAGCAGGCTTAGCAAAGAGGGTCCCCAAATTCTAGGGTTTAGGGTTTAGGGCTGTTTCTTGCTGAATTGCCCAGTGTCTTGTGACTCTCTGATCAGCCGCCGTAAACAAGAAGAGCAAGTCATGCAAGTCAAACTTCGAGCAGATCGAGTCCTGCCCCCGCAAATCCAATTTTTTGCGCATCAAGTGCTGTCAGGTTTCACGCAGCCAAGGATCGCGGAACAATACCGCTAGTTCCCCATACGCACACACACACACACATACGCATACACTCAAAACACGGCACCGCGAAGCGTGCAAGTCTCTGTGCTTTTGTCCTTAAGAACTTTGATAGGTCTACAGTTTAACTAGTCATTAGTGACGCCCCATGGATTTTAACCGTTGTTCCATGTTTCGCTTGACGAACGTTGTCCTAAAGCCGACCAGGGAGTCACAAATGACCCTTGGTTGAACGGCGGATAATGGAGACCCTTTCGTGGTTTTGGCACATGCCGGCACGTGCATCCGATTGTTTTGATCTGATCTTTCCAACGGAAAATCGGGCGTCACAAATGACTGTACGCGAAACTGCAACATTTCCTAGGCACGGTGCTCAGTTGTTGGAAATCTTGCTTGTCCCTGGGCGCGGTGCTGCGTTTCTTGCATCAAAATGCCATTTTTCCTGGGCGTGGTGCAATGTTTTTCAAAGTCGTGTTTTTCCTATCTAATAAAGTCCGAAAACATGGACCATTTAGGACACGGAATCCAGCAGGAACCTTTTACCGAAGACGAAGACCCTAAGGAGTGAATCCAGCAGGAACCTTTTACCGAAGACGAAGATGCGAAGGAGTGAATCCAGCAGGAACCTGTTACCGAAGACGCAAGACCCTAAGGAGTGAATCCAGCAGGAAACTTTTGCCGAAGACGAAGACCCTAAGGAGTGAATCCAGCAGAGGCCGTGCAGGCAAGCATGCAACCAAAATCGTTGCGACTATATGTGTGAAGGAAATGAATGGAAAGACTACACTCGAGAGAAACCGTGAGAAACCTGAGTCTCCCGCCACTAATTTCAGCTGAGCCTGGCATCTGACAAGAAGCTGGTGGTTGCAGAGCGCTTGAGCAGCTTTGCCTGGGTTTTGTCGCTGCTGGAGAAGATGAAATGCTCGAGCTTGATGTCACGGTGCATGACCTTATATTGACTTGGAATGTGCTTCCACTTGTGGGTTGCAGCCTCCAAGCCGCCCACACCGTGACCATGCAAATGCATGATGCCGGAAAGCATTTGCCAAAACAACCGGCATGCCTGGCTTGTCGACAAAGCACCAGCCGCTCACCACACCTATATATTGATTTGCTCTACCACCTCGTGCTCTGGCAATCCCACGTGTCCTCGCGGGCGTGACCGAAGTGGTGTGGATTCTCACGCGCACCATCATTCAAACTCTGTCCTTCCATGGATGCCGTGACCTCTTCGGCCTTGTTTCGGCAGACGGCTCTACGAGGTCACCCTTCTTTGTGATGCAACGGGTCTCTCGCCTGCAGCTCCTGCGGCAGCTCCTGCGGCTCTCTCGCTGCCCAGGACTGCACCGCCTTGGCTCTGGGACCTCGGAGGCTGGGAATGGCTGGGAGGCTTGGCTGGCGGAATGAGACCCTACAGCTAGGCCCGGAATGGCTCCGTGACTTGGGATTTGGCTGCGATGCTTCGGGAGCAGCAGCTCAGCAAGGCTCCCGCCTCACAAAAAGAGCCGGCGAAGGCAGAGGGGTCTCTTCTCTTCCTTGCCACTTTGGCTGCCTTGTAGGAGTTCCATGACGAGGTAGAGGTCGTCCTTTCACACTTTCGCCGGGCTGCCGCGCGGGGAGCTGAGCTGAGCTTTGCAGAGCTTGTGCAGTGCAGCCTGGCACTCGAAGACCTCGTGGAGCCTCACTCTGTGTGAAACTCGGCACTCGAGAGCCGGGTTTCTGCAGACCGAGACCGAGCTTGGGACTTAATTGTGGGGGGGGGGAAGAACCGCTCGGCACCCTGCCGTCAACTAACCTGTTATTCTTCTTTCTCCCGCTGCTGGTCTTATCACCCCATGTGCTGCCTCATCCTACTTCACTGGCTTCTGCAACTGCTGCAATGCCGCTTCTCGGACTCTGCTGTTACACTACCCGGTGTCCAACCCTGTTAACCTTGCCGTTGTCTTTGCCGGCCTATGTTGCTTCTCCTCCCATTATCTACTGCAACATTGCGTGACCCGAATGCAAAAAGTTTCAAGAGCCGTCAGGAATCCTCTGCTTCAATGATTACCGACAAGTTACTAAGTCCTCAGGGATGATGCTTGTGCTGCCTGCAACATGAGGCTCATCACCGCCTTCGGAGCAAGTCGGTGAACAGAAGGAGCAAGAAGCGGACTGAAGAGACCGAGACTAGCGGTCATTACACGAAAAATGGTGGGAAATGACCGCGGGCAGGCCAGCTAGATGCGGCTTCAATGAACTAGCAAAAAAAGGACGAGGAGGCAGAGACCCAGCCCTCTAGAAAACTAGCTCTTGAGGGTTGCGAGAGTACTGCAGACTCAGACTTTTCCTCCGGAATTTCCCGAGGCCCCGGCTTTGCCACGTTCGGGTGGTCTAGGCCTTCAGTTGAAGCTCTAAACGCCCAAAGTGCAGCTAATATGGGAACCCGATTCAGAAACCTTGGGTCTTTATGTGGATTCCTAATCCTAATATTTTGGGGTTCTAGGGCCAGGGTTTCTTAATCAGGTTCCTACATTACCCACCGATGCCACGCCCCCTTGGGGCTCTCACGCAGCAAGACTTCAACTTCTTGGGCCTCCCGAGTGCTGCGATGCTGTGGACGCTGCAATGCTAAAGCCGCGCCTCATCCCTCCGGCGTCTGCTGGGCTCTCGGGAAGGGTGCTTCTGTACCTGGAGTCAGGCAAACACTGCTACACCGTGCAACTCGCCGGCTGCTTGAGGCAAAGCTGGACATGCAGCTGCCGCGAGATATCTTACCCCACCAGAAGTGCACACGGACGGGCGGCAGCTTATCTCTTCGTCGTTCCAACACGGTCCACAACGGCAAACCGAGCTCGGTGCGGAGGTTGACTGACACGAGAAGTAGACATTGTCGCGACGGATGATTCAGGTTGGAATTGCAAGATTCTGCGTTCAAAAACGGACACCGCTGACGCTCGTGGCAATCTTGCTTGCAGCCAGGAGGTCCTGATTGGGCAGTGTCTCGAATTTTCTTTCGGTCACGGGCAACGTTTTCGGCCGGTCGGCAGCCATTCGCGGCCCCATTCAACGTACATAGCTCGCTTTGCGTCGCCTGCCCCGAAAGCATCATGAGCAAAAGCTGCTCGGCTTGTTGACCAATGTTGCTGCTGCAACAAGGCAAAACGCACGATGCGGTTGGGCCAGCCGTGGGAGCATGAGCAGGCTTTTCGCCGGTTCAGCAACACTGACCAACAGCTTTTGCTCTAATTTGCCGGCCGTCGTCCGCCCATCCACCGAAAATCAATAGCATCAGCTGTATGTCACTATAAGTGTGTGCTTACCCACCGTTTAGATGTTCGGTGTTGGTTGTGGCTTCTGCAAGCCGTCACGCAACCACATAGCTCATGGTCATGTAATGTCATGCGCATCGGCTGTCGGGGTGCTGGTTGCTATGAGCATCCGCTGTCAGGGCTTCTGCCGAATGTCACCCGTTCAACAAGACCGATCAGCAGTGTTTTGGATTTTGCAAGCCGCCGTCCAAGAAGCGAACATCATGTGCATCAGCTGTCTGGCTGTTTGCCCAAAGACTCCCTTTCAGCATGACTGGAATTGTTGGTGTTGGACTGTGCAGGCCGTCGTATAGAAAACATCATGAGCATCAGCTGTTTGGGCTTCGGGAACATTATGAGCAGCTGCTGTCCTTTTTGTCTACCGCTCGCCAAGCATGATATGATGTGAACAGTTTGGGTTGGATTTGGCAAGCCGTCGGCCGCGAAACAAGCATCGTGGGATTCAGCGTCTGCTATTCAACAACCCTGATGGGAACTGTCGGTACTGGACTGCTCAAGCCGTCGCCCACGTAGCGAACATCATGTGCACCAGCTGTTTGGCATTTGGCCCAACATCTCCCACTCAATGGATATCGTTGGTGCTGGACTGCGCAAGCTGTCGCCCACACACAGAACATCATCAGCATCAGCTGTCTGGGCTTTTGCTCAACGTCACCCATTCCAAAAGATTGACCAGCAGTTATGTTCTAGATTTTGCAACGGGTCACCCACCCATTGAACATCATCAGCATTAGCTGTCCGCTTCTTCACCCAACAATGTCCCTTTCGAAAAGCACAATGTGCATGGTTTGCTTAGTTTGCTTTGGATTTTGCAAGCCGTCGACCACCTAGCGAACAGCATGTGCATCAGCTGTCTGGCAATTGGCTCAATGTCCCCTAGTCAATGGACATTGTTGGTGTTGGACTGCGCAAGCCGTCGCCCACACACAGAACATCATCAGCATCAGCTGTCTGGGCTTTTGCTCAACGTCACCCATTCCACAAGATTGACCAGCAGTTATGTTCTAGATTTTGCAATGGGTCCCCCACCCAGTAAACATCATCAGCATCAGCTGCCTGCTTCTTCACCCAACAATGTCTCTTCGAAAAGCACAATGTGCATGGTTTGCTTAGTTTGCTTTGGATTTTGCAAGCCTATGGCTCAACGTCTCCTAGTCAATGGACATTGTTGGTGTTGGACTGCGCAAGCCGTCGCCCACACGCAGAACATCATCCGCATCCGCTGTCTGGGCTTTTGCTCAGCGTCATCCATTCCAAAAGACGGAAGATGTTGCAACGGGTCGCCCGCCGAGTGAGCATCATGAGCATCAGCTGTCCGCTTGTTCACCCGACGTGGTCCGTTCGACAAGCATGATGTGCAAGTTTCGTTCTGGATTTTGCAAAACATCACAGATCAGCATCATGAGGTGCACTATGAAACCAAGGAATTTAGTGAACATGGTGTCGTGCATTGTGCAACTACGTACTTCGACAAGCTCGACAAATTCGAAGGCCTTCAGAGAGCTGTGTCATGCAGTGCAAGTAGGGGACTCGTCGTGAGGAAGGCATGCCAATTCGAGATGGCCAGCGATGAGGACATTGGCCATTGTGTGAAGGGCGATCAAAGGTCTCGGACGCGATGGAGGCCAGTGAGCATCAAGGAAAATTGGGATGTGCATTTGCCAGTGCTAGTTCCTTTCACCATGCAGTGCTTGCAAGTTTCCCGCTGGGGCTTTGGGACGCCGGGCAGAGGCAGCTTGCTTTGCTGGCTTGCATGGCTGTGGCAGTGCTTGCTTGATTGTCTTTGGGCCATTGTCCTTAGAGATGCAGGGGCATGGAGTGGAGGTTTGCAGGCGTTCGGTCGTGGCAAGCCGCCGACCACCTAGCGAACAGCATGTGCATCAGCTGTCTGGCTTTTGGCTCAACGTCTCCCAGTCAATGGACATTGTTGGTGTTGGGGTGTGCAAGCCGCACCCGGAGGTCATCGTGAGCATCAGCTACCTCGGCTTTAGAACAGCGTCATTCACTCATCAACACTGACCCGCATCGCAGTGTCTGTTCTAGATGATGCAAACCGTGGATTTTGAAGCCTGCCCCCATCCGGCGCAAATCATGCTTGCTTCTAGCCGCTAGCTGTTGACCACCCCGCGAACAACACGACCATCAGATGCTGTCACCGCACCGTTCCGGGAGCATGTGACCTTCGAAAGCCCTGGTTCACGCAGAGAAAATCGTGAGCTCGTCTGTTCGGCGACGGGCAAGAAGCTCAGGCGACTGATGCCAATGATGTTCGCTGGGCGGATGCTTGCTATTCCAAGCCCAGCTGTGCTGGACGTGCTTACAGAAAAGATAGACAGTAGATGTTCATTAGGTTATCTGGGTGCGCGACGGCTTGCACCTTGTTGGGTGGGTGACGATGGGCAACAGCTCATGCTCGTGCTGTTCGCTGGGTGAATGCACGCTTGCAAAGTCCCACACCCGATTCAAGGCGTGCCTGCGGGAAGGTGCAACAGAAAAGCCGCTCTGATGATGCTGATGGCACCGGCGACGGCTTGCAAGATCCAAACCGAACTGTCCACGTCGTGCTTGATGAATGGGCGACATTGGGTAAAGAAGTCAAGCAACTGAGTCTCTGATGCTCATGATGTTCGCCGTGTGAATGGATGCTCGCAACATCCAAACGAGCTATGCTGATCATGCATTCGAGTGGGTGGCGTTGGGTTCGTTGGGCTGGGCGACATTCAAACAGCTGATGCTTAAGATGTTTGCCGGATTGGCGGCTGCTTGCAAAATCCAAAGCACATGCTGCTCATCATGATTGTTGACGATGTTGGGTAGGCAAAACAGACAGCTGATGTTCATGATGTTCGCTGGCTGGGCAACAAAAACGCCAAACGATGTATGCTCTTCGTGCTCGTTGCAAGGGAAGGTGCTGGGCAAAAAGCCAGACAGCTGAGGCTAGGATCAGGCCTGCTGAACGGGCCACACTGTCCAAAATCATGCTAGTTGAAAGGGTGAGGATCTGCAAAAGGCCAGGGCCACTGCTTCCAAAATCCACGGCCGACGATGCTCATGATGCTCGTTGAAAGGGCGACATTGGGCCGCAAGCTAGGCAGCTGATGCTCATGTTTGCCGGGTGCTGTATGAAACCGCCTGCAAATGAGGGACCATATGAATGCGAGGAGAGCGAGGTATAACACTTGTAACAGGCCAGCAGGTGACTCCCACAATGATCCATGCCCCCCAACCTCGTCGGTGTCGGCTACCATGCAGCGCCCATCGACCTTCACAAAGGAAGAGAGAATGACAACGAAAAGCACATTGGCTGTGCGCGCAAGCTCCTCCAGCACAAATGTCTTGTGTGCACTTGGTGCAACATGGTTACTTGTGCTAAGCTCTCGCTTCCTGCACAGTGCCCCCAGCACACTCTGCCGAATGACATGGCGGAGGCGTACACATGTACGATCAATGTTGGTAGTCAGTTCTGCTACACGTTCATAAACCAAGAGCAGGAGTACTCCCTGCGAACGGAGAGATCCAAAGGCAGTTCTTGCATCTGGGGTCGCAGGCGGAGTCCGTAAAGCCGCAAAGCAAAGGATCCGAATAGCGCCCCTCGGGACCCCTCAACAGTTGCAGGGGCGTGCCTTCTTCTTCCTTTTCACGGCCCGGAGCACCCTGCGAGACTCTACATGTCAAGATATGTCAAGATATGAGCGCTCCAGCTCCGCGTCCAGCTCCGCTTTGCGCCTGGTCCGCCGATGCCTTGCGAGATGAACCTCCGAGAAAGAGCCGAAGCCGATGGGCCAGGCCTAGCCACAAAGCGCAAGGGCGGCTCCGGGGGGGGTCGGGGTCCCGGGCAGCGCCTTGAGCTCGTAGACCTCACAAAAAGCACGGAGAAGGCGGAAGAAGCGGATGCCCCCCCCCCCTTTTTATAAGGCCCCCCAGCATCTGCCGGCTCTGCTGGCTCAGGAGGTGCTCCTGGTGAGGCTGGCGCCCTTCCCTGTCCCTCCCGTCTCGCCTGTCTCTCTTCAAGCTGGCGCCTCCGAAGTGGGTGACCATACCACCCGGGACGAGGAGAGGCAGCGGTCGGGGGCACCTGCACCAGGTCGGGTTGTAAACCGTTGTGGCAGACTCTCTATTCAGCTCAGGAGGGTAGGATCCTAGTCTCCGAAACATCAGCGACGCTGCAGGAAGTGTGTCGATATATATCATTGTTTTATCAGGTCGGCCTGTTTTGCTATACTCTTGTGCTCATCCCCAACAAACCTTCAGAACAGTTGCGTTCACCACCTGCTGAGGCAGCTCCAAGTAGCAAACGTGCAGATAGTTGGGGCATCATCTTGTTTAACGTATGTCTTTCTTCAGGTCGCTTGAGCTTTCCCGAAACGTCGGTGGCCTGTTCGTCGCTCCGGCCAACAGCCCGAGCTCCAGCTTGGTCCAATTCTCAGCAAAGCCGCAGAGGTGCAAAGGACCGAAGAGAGCAAGGCTGCGGGTTTGCTAGGCCCCCCAGCTCCTATCAGCTCCTCTTCTCGCGAGGTTCCTTAAAACTGCCCCGCCAGACCCTTCAAGAGAGTCCGACTTATCCGAGGTGTCTGCTGTACCGCGGCTCTTGCTCACCGCCCAGGCCACAAGGGACCGCGTCGCATCTCCCTACACCTCTGTCGGATATGCCGGAGGAGGAAGAGAGTCGGAGTCGGAGCTGCACGGGGCCGCGATCTGAGGCTGCCACATTTCAGGGCCCTGTCACCCAGCGCCTCAACGAAGGGGCTAATTGCAATAGAGAAGCGGAAGGGTTCAGCGCGGAATTCTCTGGGCATCGCACCAGCTGCGGGCCTCGGCCAGGCGCGTTTGCAGCGCAGGGAGGGGGGGAAAGCGCTCTTCCAAAGGGGCCCGGGCTCTTCTCGTCTGGATGGCACAGTGAGGCGCCCATGACACCACGGCCATACTTCTCTCTCTCTCCCTAGGTCCTCTCCCGAACCTGTGAACCGTGCCCCTGCCAACAACTGCCACCTTGAACCTCGCACCCCGACGTGAAGTCTTCTCCAAACTTCTGCAATCCTCTCCAGCATGTGCTACGACTCAAAGGCCTGGAACACCTGAAAACAGACCCTGCCACAACCCTACGAGCCGTGAAACCTTGCACAAGGGGCTGCATGTGGACTTCTCACTCGTCCATGTCACTCGACACAGGTCCAGGTCTGCTATCCGCCGATGTCCTCCTCCTGGAGTGTCTTCAGCTTGGACTCCTTGCGCGAAGCCACTCAAGAGGAGCTGCACCGACTTCGCCGAGCCGACTGTCCTTCTCCGAGCCCTTCAACGCCTCACGTGCTGAAAGCATGCTGAAGCGTAGTTAGCGCGCAGGACATCAGAGGGGCCGGCATCCAAGTCTCGGATGAGCCGCTTGGCATGCATCAACGGCTGCGAAGCGGAGACGCCTGCCAAATCCCAAAAACCGCGAAGACTGGAACTGGCAGCTCACCTATAGCAGCCTTCAGTCAGCGTAGCATTGCCGAAGCTTCGAAGTCTGGAGAGCGCCGTCTTCCTTGGGAAAAAATCCGACACTTTGTTACATCGAACCGTCCTTCGTGGCTGGGGCTCCTGCGTGCTCTGGAGCTCTGCTGCCTGCTGTGGTTTGCCAGCCCGACAGCCTGCTGTGTTTGTCTCCGGGCAGAAAAGGGACAGACCGTGCAGATCCCATCCCGGCTTTGAGGAAACAGCGCCAAAAGGTTGTCGACGGCACTGCACTCTCTGAAGTATAGACCTGCACAAGCCGTGCCAGCCGAAACAGACAGTGACATCACAACGAAACCCTGATTGGAAAATGTTCAACAAAGGATCAGCAAAATCAGTCTCTCAACATCCAGACGGCAGTCGCACTCTTCAAAGTTCGTTTGAATCTCATCTGATACATCTCGCAAACGGCTGCAAAAGCATGGTGTTGCGAGTTTTGACTGAACAAGCTGTGCACCCCGCCTGAATACCACACAGACTAGAGCAACATTTCTAGATGGCAGTGTCAGAGCCAAGATAAGGGGATCATTCGTGGCTGCACGAAAGTCGGAGAGCAGGAATCCGATCTTTACTGTTGGGAAAGGCACCCTCACACACCTTCCTCGGGTTCGCTGCAAAGGCTTCTCGTCGACAAGTAAGGCACAAACTCGACAAGAATCTCAAGTGGAACAAAGCATTGCATTGCAGGGTTTCCACAGAGTCACGGTCCTGGGAGGGAGGGAGGGAGAGAGAGANNAGAGAGAGAGAGAGAGAGAGGGCAACAACCAGGTGGAGCATGAGCGGGCTGATTGCGACTGGCTTGCAGTTGGGCTCTGCGGGTAGCTTTGCTGCGCAGAGTGCTCGACCCTTCACGAGTGGGAGCCGGAGATGGGCCCGCAGCAGAAGGTCTCCGACATCACCGTCACTTTGCCAGTTCTTCGATCGGAGCCCTTTCTCTCGGTGTTGGATCATGCTTTTCCTGAGTCATGCAATCCCCTTTCCTGTCTCTGCATCCCCATGCAGTTTCGCTCATTGCCATCCTGAATCGGCGCTCAGCCGGTCTTTCGACCTGCCTGGAAACTCAGAGGACTTCGCCGCTTGGAAGTTCCTGTCTTTGCAGGGGCCTCAGACCCCACTTCCACAGCTCTTCGAACCTGCTCGAAGAAGTGCATTCAGGCTCCCGCCGTCCACGAAACAGTAGCGAGCTTCTGCGTGCACCTGACACGAGGGCTGGCTGTCGCCGTCCTTTTGTGACCTTCTGTGACTCAGCGGCCTGTGGCTCCTGACCATGGGCCGCGCAGCCCAGGCGCCCTCAGAGCAAGGGCCAAGGCGGCCAAGGGGTCAAAGAGTATCCAAAAGAACTTTCCGAGGCTCCCGCCGGTGCTGGTGCCCTGAAGCTTTCCAGTCAGGCTGCAGAGGCAGGCTGCCTCTGCTGCAGGGGCCACAGGGGCCGCGGCCCTGCGCCAAGACGATGCAGCCCTTCGAGAGTTTCTCGCGTTCCCGGCCTGTGTTCTGGGAGGCTGGTGACCGGAGCGGCAGAGACTGGGAGTGGTGTTGTCGCAACCGTCGTCGAAACGGCGAGGCTCGGTCTCAGCACCACCTCTACCAAACGAAACAACGGAACGGAGCAGAGAGCAGGGGGGAAGCATAGGTTCTTGGGTTTCCACGCCTCGGCGCTGAAGGGGCTGGGCGCGATGGCCTGCTCCGGCGAAGGTGCCGGGATCACCCGGTCGGTCATGCGGCGCACCGTTGCCGCCGGGCTTGGTGCCAGCGGCATGGGCACCTTTTCCAAGCCGCCACGTGGCCAAAGCCGCCAAGTTGCTCTTTGGACGTAAGCAGGCTCTGGGGCCTGATGTCGAGAGACCGAAGCCAGGGGAGATGGAGCGACGGCCGGCGAAGGTGCCGCCTGCGTCTCCTCGCCCAAAAACACTGGGTGTGCGAGACGTGACATTCTACCCCTGGATGCACCCGAGTGCGCCTCTGCCAGCGTAAGGTCGGCCTGCGAAACACAGGGTGTTGGACGCTGGCGCATAAAGTCTTTCAGATGCACCGAAAACGGCAGACTCTTCAAAATTTCCTTCCGAAAATGCAACCTCACTTGCCTGCGCCTGCGCATCAGTGCCGACACCGGCCAAACCTTAGGCGATGCACGTGGGACAACCACGAACAGCAGCAGCTCACTCTGAAAGAACCGCAGGCAAGCGACTCAGCCAATCCTGCAGAGCATGTCGCTCGACAGAAACATTCGTCGACACTTTTGCTTAAACCAAACCACTTGCGAGCCTTGCCATGCCCCGCCACCACCATGTCCATGCTTTCATGCCCCATGCAAATCGTCCTCCAGGGGCGACCTCTCGTCCTCGGAGGAAGACCTGAGGCTGGGGGCCGGGCAGGTCCGGAATGACATGACGCGGGCTCCGAGTTCAGAGCGGCATCGATCCGCCGAAACAGGACCTGGAGAGTCTGGCAAGGCAGCCGCATGAAGCAGAGACGAACACCAGGATCTGGCCGTGTCGCTGCAGCACCGTTGACATCCTGACGCCAGGCAGGGCTCGAGAATTTTAGTCTCCATGTCCCCACGACATCCGGTGGCTGCGGCGCAACGGAATACTTGAAAGATGCATCGGGTGCACCAAAGCGAAACATGGGGCGTTTGGCTCCAAACAGCCCAGGAGCGAAAGGCTCCGCTACCGGTGCGAAAGCGAAATGCCCCAAGTGGTGCTCAGCAAGCACTTTTGTCACGCATAGCTTGAGCCATTCATGGGCCAGGTCGTGCCAGACTGTTGCCTCAATGCTCTAGGAGATAAATATCTTTTGCGCGACACGGCGGGCTTTAGTCTGCACAAATCACAGTTCACTGCAACCAATAAGACCATCTCCATGAAGAGAATGACCGCTCTCCCCACACCCTCCAGGATGACCTCCATGCAGGCGACCAGCTTGGGGCATTGCGCCTCGCACTTTGCCTCATAGCTTCAAAAAGCTTTGGGCTGCCCCGGCTTGTGCGGCTTGGGGCTCCGGCACTTTGCGAATGCTCGCACAAGCTTTCGCAGTAGCTGGATGAAAAGCAGGATGCCTGACTGTTTGCGTTTAAGAAGGGAGGATTCGGCTCTTCTCAGGCGCCGACAAGGCAGGATTTCCCGTCCTTCAGGGTCCGTTTGCACGTCTGCGTCGGCCGCCGCCTTCCTCTCCACCCAGAGCGCCTTGTGCCTCTCACACTCGTCCCAGACCTGCGCCATACCTGGCAGATGAGCTGCAGGCTCAACGGGGACCCCAAGCCCCATAAATCACGAGCAAATGTGCCAGACCAGGCTGAAGAGCCGAAAGAAGCATGGGTTGGCGGGTGACAAGGTAAGGTCCTGCAAAAACGTGCAGTGCTTGAATTCGGCTCGACGAGACTGAAACCTGCATGTCACGTCCTGGGTACCGCAGATCTCTTCCAGCACCTGAAAAAGTCGAAGGCTCGGAGTTGCTCGCAGGTTCGGAGTGGTTTTGGGGCTGCGCACCTGGCCGCTGAGAAGCCCTGCAGAAGCAGACTGTGCCAGGAGGAGCCACATTATCTGCCAAGACAAGATCTCCCACTCAGCGCTGACCGGCATCGTGTCACCAGGGCACGGACACCGGAGGTCGTGCCCATCTCAATCGCCTTCTCCATATCGGCCAAAGCAAATCCAAGCAGTAACTTCAGCCTGGGGTCCCGACTTTGAGATCGGCCAAGGCCAAAGCCAAGAAGAATCATGGCGCGACGACGGATCTCGTCGATGCCTGGCCCTTCGAAGCTTTGCCCGCCATAATTGAACCGAAGCCGGTCAGGCACGCAAGCTTTCCAGAAGCATCCACATGTGTTCCTTCACGTTACCGGGACAAAAGCCTGGGAGGGTATCCTTGCCGAGTTTTCTGAAGTGGCACTCACTGGCCGTAGCCGCGGCCTCCACAACTGCTAATTTCAATTGCTTGCACAAGCACGACCAGAACGATTGGTAGTCTTAAGTCGAACATAAAAGTCTAAAAGTTGCATTGTCTCACATACAGAACAGCGGTTCACAAGCACACAGAACGAAAGCCTTGCTTCCGCACTGACACAGACGCGCTGATCTGTCATCGTACGGCTGTCACAGTTCCAAGAACCGAAGTGTTAACCCCAAGACTCTTGAGACTCGGTCACAAACCTTGCTTTGCTGCCTTTCATTGGTGACAAGACATAGCCGGAATTTCGCAAGATGCCGCGGACTTGAAGAATCTGGTAAATTCAAGGGGATGTTTCCAGTCTGGCGGCCGGCCAGCCGCCAGTGTATTGGGAGTGGTGCAATGGATCGAAAACAACAAGGGCTCTCTACGCACACTTTCTCACACTACCCAAGAAAACATCGTGGGCGGTCGTGGACGTCCGAAGGGAAAGCTCGAACATTCAGACAAAGATTGACCAAGACTATGTACTCGACTTCGGGTAACGTGAGTGGGCTGTAGGTTTTCGCTTCTTTGGGCTGAGGTTATAGAGCCAAGATGCTGCACTTCTATTGCAGTAGCGAAACCCTTCCTCGCCCAAATGTAATCATCGGATCGGGATGTGCATCTGGCGGTTGTGAGAATATAAAAGGACATGGGGTGGTACAGTGTACTGTTTGTAAATCGCACACTTCTAGCAGTAATGGAAACGGCGGCTAGAACGATCATCGACACACACAAACCGCTCTTGACCTTAATCCGCAAATCCCTCAGAAAGAATGGAATGTCAGTGTCCCTCACACCCCATCGCATCGAGAACGTGACTGCCGGTAGTGCTCACAATGAGCGAACGAGATTGCAAACTCCACCACTCGGGCGCTCAACCCAAGATTTCATGCATCATGCGTCGTCACGTTCTGCGGTGAGCACTCGGCTTCTTTGGGCGACCAAAGCTCCAAATGCAAAGTTGAAACATTTTTAGCCTAGGCTACAGACTCTCCGCGAGTCTCGTCTTCTAGCTGCACTTATTTAAATGCGGTTGGACCAATATCATGAATAGGCCACCAGTGCTCTGAAGCGCCCCATCCTGCGACGCCATGCAGAACTTCTGCTGTCTCCGCCAGGCCCCTCACTTCGAGGGCGGTCAGAGAACGTGGTTCCGAGGTGAAACGAATCTAATCTAATCTTGACACGGCAATACGGCAGGGCGCAAAATCGCTCAACCAGCCGCGCCGTGCGACCATCGCGGAAAGCTTTCAAGCATTGCACCGCCCCCATCTTCCACACCTCAACCTGGACAATCATGGAAGCTCGAGTCGGCACAGGTTGAGGAACCCCGACGGCGCCTCGGCCGCGGCTGTTTCCTCTCGCAGACGGCATTCCAGCCGCCCCCGCGCCAGCCGGACTCGCGGCCTCGGGAAGAATCGGATTCTTCGGTTTTTTTTTTCCGCAGCTGCCCCGCTTTCTGAGGGCCGCACCCGACCCTGTGGAGTGCGGCCTCGCCGATCTGCCGAGGGGCCCCGGGCAGGGCTGCTGCCCGGGCCGCGTGGGGCCTCAGAATGACACAAAAACCGCCACAACCGTACCAGAACGGTTGTAGAATGGAAGTAATGGAGAAACACTCGGTGCGCGGACGGGACCATCTCGACTGGCCTGCCGTTGCAGCGCCCCTTCCCTGGGCACAGGGCACCAATCCGCGAAGATTCGGCAAAACATCCCGTGGCCTCTTCTCGGGAGCTCGATGGGCGGGGCTGCCGCCTCCTGGCGGGGGCCTGAGCTGCAAAGTGTGCCTCTCATCCCCTTGTGACATTCTGTGCCCCGTGTTCAGATTCCGGCTTTCCGCTTGCTGGCGTTGCAGCTTGCGCCTAGGCGGAACAACAACCGAAAAAGAATCGCGGGGACAACGTGAGAATGCGAAAACGAAACTGAGGATGCATGGATTAATGGATGGATGGATGGATGGATGATGATGGACAAATCAGCGAACGGACGAACGAACGAACGATGGAATAAAGGAATGAACGAAGGAAGGCAGACGGAAAGTTTGAAGAGCAGAAGAGCTGGCTGTGAGCGCAGAAGTCCGACGATAACAACGAGCAAAGGCAGCAAAGGGAACGAGCTGCAGAAATGCCTGGCTCCCCTGAGGCTCCGCACCGACTGTCGAGGTCGCACTTTGGCACCCTGGATCTGGCAGCCACGGGCAGCATCCAAAAGGGGCTCCGGCGACGAACTAACTGTCTCTAACTCCAAATCAGCTCTGCCAGCAGGGCGGAGCAAGGCCGACAGAAACCGCTGCTGCGCGACTGCTACGGAATGAGAAGCACAGATGTTGGCCAATTCCTTGTCCCATGCGGATCTCCTTGAAGCCCGAATCTCTGGGCACTCATCTGAAGCGATATGCCAAAACACGGGGGCATGTGCGCGGCATATGCGCATGTAGCAAGCGGGACTTGAAGACGCAAGGCAGGAGCTTCTGAACATCCAGGCGAAGCTGGGTGACGAAATTAACCTACGCTCATTTCCTACTCCTCTTATCTGTTTTCAACTTCCTAACCGTCCTAGCCTTTACAAGACCCGAGAATTCATATAAATTATAAAGTATGGAACATCGTCAAATCCATATCATCCCAAGCACCTCCGCTAGAAAAACACCTTCTCCGCTTTCAAGACGCGAGAGCCTCCAGAGAGATCCAAACGCCCGGCTTCACATTCAGCTGCACTCGGCCTCGAGTGCGTGCCAGACTCTCTCAGAGGCATCTTTTCATCACTTCACTTCGCTCCAGGCACTCTTCTCTTCTTTTTCTCTCCCTGAGTTCTGTGCCGTCATCGTTGGCCGCCGTCACCGTGGCAGGTAGCCTGAGCTGCAAGCCGAAGGCCAGAAGACATCCTGCTTGGAGCGAGGGAATCCTTGGCGTGGGAGGACCAGGCCTGAAACATCCAGAGGCAAAACTCCGCCGAAAAAATCGCCTCTTCGTTTTCGGCTTCTTGGTTCGATTTTGAGGGCTTCCGGCGGAAGGACCTGTCATTTTCGAAAGCTTGTTGCGGGTCCGCCGGGAGTTTGGGCTTCGGTCCCGAGACTCTAGCTGCCCGCGACTCGGGTGCCAGGCGGAGCCCTTAAAGCCGGGGAGAACCTGTCTGAGTCTCTTTGGAGAGCCGTCTGCGCATCGCCTCTTGTTTCGACTAACCGGGGATGGGACCCCCAGAGCAAGAAAGCCAACCCATGTGACCATCACCTGATCACCTGCTTCATTGTAAGGCATGGTGTTGGGGGGAGGGCTCCGACTTTTGAGGTGGTTGTTAAGCTAGCTCCGCTGCATAGCAGCTGCACCGCCTCTCGAACATCTGGGGAAGGCACCACTCACCATGCGTCTCGCTGTAGTATTCAACCAGCTCGCCCTTGGTGTACTTGCCGGCGTTGCCTTAGCGACGAACCTCTCGATTCTGTGTCAGAAATAAACAAAACTCCGAGCCCCATGCTGCCATACGGCCCGGCCACGCCGGAGGCTGCAGCACCACCTCTCGGCTTCTCTCTCATGCATTGTCCACCCCAATTTGAGCCGGCCTGTCGGTGCTGGTGGAGGGGGCGGCTTGTCGCCCTCCTTTTGTGAAACACTTAAGACTTTTAAGATATCTTCGAAATACAAACACATGCGAAGATTCCACGGTGTCTTGTTGCTTGCTCAGGTCCCTTTACAACTTGTAGGGAGACACTGTGCCATCGGGGCCCGTGATGCCTCGACATCACACGAGGCGATGTCGGATTGCCAACTGCCGATTCACGGAAGCCCGTGCCGTCAAGTTGACAGGGAAGCAGGCTTGGAGCTCTCGTTGTGCCGACACTGACGCTTCGGGGGATTTTGAGGCAAACTGGGTGACGTGTACGGGTTGTGTGGAACTCGTGGCGAAGTCACTCTTTGCTCAAATTCCTATCAAGCGCGACCACCGATGTTTGCAAAGCATCCGACTGCGGATAGAAGGCTCTTATCACTGCGGCGTACTACCAGAGCCTGCCGGCAGCTTCAAACCTTAGGTACGAGCGGTACCTAAGCACAGCTTGAGAACAGAGCCTCATCGAATCCATGGAATGGATTCCTGCCCTGCGCCGTCCTCCTCCCCAGCTTCACCCTTGACCTCGTCGAGCATCCTGGCATTTGTTCACGTACAAGTGTGATAGCTTCGAAATCCCCCGAACATCCCCCGGCCTTCTCACCATTTCCTGTACGACCGGTCGCTTCAGGATTTCGGCCTGACATGGGCAACGAGGGTGCAATAAGAGGTGGGGCATGTCGCAAGGCATCGCAAATGTGTTTTTTTTGCCAGGGCTCGGCAGGCGGACGTTTGTTGGGGTCCCTGTCCAGCAGCTCCTGAAAAAAGAGAGCGCTGGACAAGGCGCCAACGGCTCCAAACCCGGGTCCACCCGGGCCTTTCCAAGGTTGCGAACTCCAACAGAGTAGTCCGCGGGGATCTCAGGGACAAGAAGGACGCAGAAAAGACCGGAATCGCAGGGTCTTTCTGTTTGAGCCTCCGGTGCCGGCTCTTTGGTGATCTTGTGGATGAGGCTCTTCCTCACCGAACAGGCTCTAACACTACACAGAGCAGAGCGCTGAGGCGAGGAAGTCTTCTGGCAAGGCTCAGATCTGGTGCATCGAATGGCACCTTCCTGCAAACGTACAGAGCTTCAGCACCACAATTGGCTGTGCAGCACCTCTACTCCCTTCCTGGCACACATCTCGTAGAGGATGCACCCCATGCTCCAAATATCGGAGCTCCAGGCATAGTTCTTGCCATGGCATATCTCTGGTGAGAGGTAGTACGGCCTCAGCACCAACCTCTACGCAGTAGCATGCAGTAGCCACATTTCTGCTGAAGAAGCAGAGTGAGCGCATCTGAGCGCCAGGATCCCAGCGTGCCAATCTGCGTCTGGGCGCACGCCGCTGTGCATTCCAGGACCTGGACAGGAGCTCAACCCGAGCAAGGCCACAAAGAGCTCACAGCCTGCGGCCCTGCCTTGGCGATGCCGAAATCACCCATCTTGATATTGCCTAAGTCAACCGAGCCACGAGCACCTCAAGAAAAATTCTCCACAGCTTTCAGCTTTCGAGGAGATGGCCGCTCTTCGACAAGAAGAAATTCCCGGACTTCAGATCTCTGTGGAGGATGTGAAGGTCGTGGATATACTTCAAGGCGAGAATGGCCTGTCAGGCCAGGCAAGACGAAAATGTGGCCTCGTTAATTTGGAAGCCCATGGAGCCTGGGTAAACCACCTGACGACCTGATCCTGCGGAAAGATCTTCGACGACTGCCTGACTGGCAGGCGCCGGTTGCGGAAGCAGCACTGCAAGCAGTGCCGAAACGCCTTGCATTCTTTATTCTTCCCGAGAGATCACCTCCTTCACAGTAGTCCATGACGATGCACAGCCAGCCGTCCTTTCACGATGCTTCGTGTCGTCGAGCAGGATAATACTATCTGTGCCTCGTTGAAGCTCTCTCTGTACCGGACGATGTACGGATGCTTCAAAGACGCCAGCACCTGACAGGAAGCACATGCAAGCCCTGCTCCCCATCATCAGCAGTTTTGCTCGGCAAGCCTTGCTCTCTTTCAAGGCATCGTCTTTCTCTTGCTTGGAAGCACGGCTGATGTCTATCATCTTCACGATGGCCTGGCGACGCTACATTGAGCAAATCCTGTAGGAGAGATGGGGACGGACCTCTGAATGAAAGGCTGGCTCTCAATACTGTGCTCTCATTCATGCTTTAGCGATTGCATCAACATTAAGGGCCCTTGCGTGGGCAGACTGCCCAAACGGCAATACGAAGGTTGAAACTCCCAAGGACAGCAAACCTCTCAATAGGATTGGGACGGTTCGAGGTGCTGGACGAATCCGCGGGCGACTTTTGTGAGGAAAGCGACCGCAAACGCAGTTTCCCACCGGGTACCCTGCCTTGGTGTCACGCTCCTTGTCGGTATCGTGCTGGCAGAGGATGGCCGCTCCGAAGGAGCCCTCGCCAACCTCGTTTTGGGGTCGCGACGGCGCAGTCCAACAGTTTTCCGCTTCGGTCCTTCTTGATGAAGGCATAGTGGTGCTTGCCTGGGAAAGCACTCGAAACGAGGAAAATACATGGAGTTTTTACCAAAACAGGACGAGGAGGGGACCCAGAGCTGCCTGGATGCGTCCATGGGCCATGGAGCCTGGGTGTTTTCACACCGTGAAAAGGGCTCCAGTCGGCCTTTGTCCTGACGCCCCACCTCCAGGCCGGAGCCTTTTTTCTCGCAGCTCCCTGCTTGATCCACTGCCACAAGCGATGAAGTGGAGAGGGCGGAAGACTGATCCAACGAAGTGTGTTCGCGTCAAACATGGGTGTTGTCCACAATGTTTGTTTATTCCTTGGTGTGCGACTCTTGTTAATGACGTGTTGAAGCACTAGCAGGTCCACCAAAAGCATCTATCCTGTTCAATACCCGTGCTACCCGAAACACTGAACCCAGCTGCCCATCCAGAGCACCCCATCACGGGCAGCGTCAACAGCGTGCACACTGTGCAAGTGAGGCATAGGGGTCAAGATGTTGACGCCCGAACGGTGAATTCGGGCCCGTCGTAGCACGCAATAGCTGTATGTCCCAGTTCGTGTACGTTAGCATGCCCAATTACTCGGACTTATGGTTGGATTCAGGGTTTATGCGGTGAGTTTCGGGAGTCTAGACCAGGTCTCAAACCCAAAGCCGTGGCAGCCCAAGACGAGGTGTACACCCATTGGGCCCTCAAACCCCCACAGCCCCGAGCTTCCGTAGGGATTCGAACCACCACATACACCCTAAAAAGTTCTAAATCCCTGATACATCCTAAAGATCGACGATCTGCTCGGGATCCTGCTTATCTGCTGGGCGTTGCGCCCGGGACGGATCTACGCTGCATTTCGCTTCTTTTCGCTTCCCTCATAGAGCTCGGCTGGCTTAGCCAGGGTCCGATTTGGAAAGCACAAGGCAGGGTGAGCTGGGCAGAGCCAAAGCCTCGAGGCCGGAAGCCAAGAGTAAAGAGCTCTTACAAGAGCTGTGAGGCTCTAGTCTTGAGCTAGTCGTCCGTCTTATCCATCAGCGTGGGAGGGGCCTCCACGGGATGTAGCTGCTTTTGTTCGACCGCCAAACTGGAAAACAAGGCTTCGGCAGTTGCCACCGGAGACTTCTTCTGCGAGTTCAAGTACTTAGCACCTGAGAGCGCAAGCCAAGCCAAGGCGGGCCAAGGTGGCGTAAACGTTCCCGAAAAAATCTGAGCAGTGGGCGGAAGGAGTCCCCAAAAGGCTCTGGTCCAAGCCGAGCCCCATAGTTCTGGCAGCAACACCCGGAGCCCCGAAATTCGCAACATGGAAGCCTTGGAGGGACGAGGCCCTGAATCTCTTTGGGCCTTCTTGGAGCAAGCGACGCCTCTCAGCATGGGGATGCTCTTCTGCGTGCCGACGGCTTTCACTTCCCTGGCATAGCGTCGCAAGTCATCACTGTCACTGTATTGCCACGTCCCTGTTGCATAGCAGAGTTGCCGCAGCCGATTTTCGGCACGGCGGTCCATGATGAACCTGCAGACATCTTCGCAGATGAATGACACTTAAGCAGATCCCGGCGAGGCTGCTGCAGGGTCCGATCCACCTTGGGGTGCCCAGTCCAAACCTGGCGTTTGCACAGATATCCGAAGTTCCTCCACGAGTTAACTCTTCCCGCCTGGGACACAAGCTTGCCAGGCTGATTCTCCTCAGGAGGCCGACAGCAAACAAAAACAGCCACTGTCTGCACCATTCCACAGCCGTCTGCCCCTCCTCGATGTGAGGAGGGACGGTCACGGTCCCGATGGAGCTGCGACGCAGGTGGACGTAGCGGGGCCTCAAGGCGAACCACTCGGATCATGAAACCACTACGTAGAATCGAGAATCAACGTCAATCCAGGACAAATCAACAAGCCGAGATTGTTTCAAAACCAATCGCCTCCATGAAAGGAAATGCGCAGCATTTCGGGATGTTGGGGCCCCCATGCCAGGTTGCCAATGAACGGAGTTTAAGGCAAAACTAAGACCGCAGGTGCACTCACTGCTGACGGCTCAAACCAACATGCATATAAGATGCATACGTACATGCAATGTGAAACATGCTGTGTGACACCTACAATGCCTACAAATCTAAACACCCCTCCTGAGCAGGGCGGTCACTTAACCCTGTGTGAAGCCGTTTGGCTGCCCCCGGCTCGTCCAGCATGAAAACGAAGTCCCATGCCCTTGAGGTATTTGACTTCGCATACGGACCTGGGAACTAGTAACTAGGCCAGCCTCGCAAGAGCCTCCTTAGGGGGACCATCTCTGCCAACAGAGCAAGAGACCGGCGAGCTGGAGCTGGAAAGCTCCGACTAGCAACTCCCCGGGCGAATGCTTTGAGGGACAAGCCCCTGCAAGAACATATGTTTAGGTTCTGGTGAGACGCGCGGATTCGCGTGTGGGAGACGCGGAGTCGCTGTTGAAAGGTTCTGTGCTGATCATGATGCGCACCTTTGAGGCCTCGGCCCTGGTTCTTCCATGGCACGTTTCAGGAAAGTGTGCTCCTGGTCCAAACACTTCGGAAAAACCTGCCTTGAGAACATCAGTGCCGGCAAAAGACAAAGCGCTGGAGTGGCAACCTCTACCAATCCAACAGGCTGCTGGGTTTTGCGAGCAACAGCATCTCGCAAACCCAAGTACCAAAGAAGTCTCCTCAACAACATCAAGCGTGATTTCCGCGAAGTACCTGCAAGGAGCAACGTCGCGTAGCAAGACATTGGCTCTTTGGCACAGGCTCACTTGGCAAAAAGTTCATCTCCGCCCTGTGACGGAATGGCCCTCGGATCAGCACCACGGTCACGACCGCTTATGTTTCCGAGCCACGGTCATGTGGCAAAGCAGCACGTCGCAACACTGTGAGTCCCCGGCACGGCCCTTTCGTCCATAGCCACGGAAGTTGCAGCTCTTCAAGACTCAAGGTCTGGCAACTGAGCAACTAACTTCCACATATCTTGTGACGAAGTATCTTCTGAAGTACTGTGGGGAGTGGGCTAGTTAAGCTCATGCAGAAAGCTACTTTGCGACTGGAAAAGGAAAGCGGCCGATGGAAGAGATCGCTCTGCCAGCCAAGTCCTCTGACAAGCCTGTCAAGACGCGGGCGAGCCCAGGACCTTGACGATCTCAAAACCCAAGTGAAGCCTCTGACTCTGCATGTCCTCAACACAACACTCCTGCAATCACGGTCCACTCCATGAACGCAACATTTGTTCGTCACTGCGGCGGGTGTCTTGCAAAGCTGACTGGAAGTTGGGCTGTAAATGCGACGCCTTCCAAAATGAAGCTATCAGCAGATTGATGCCACGGGTTTCGGTTGAGCTCGGCCAATGAAATGAAAGGTCGGAAAGCGGATCCAACAATCCCACGCCAGCTTTGCTAGCAGGGCGGCAAAGCAGAGCGGCGGCGGACCGGCGGTCTGTTCTGTCCGGTAGAGGAAGGAGTCGATGGTGTGAGCGGCGTCCATGGCCGCTCTCTCTTTGCGCTGAGCCCGGCTGCTCCAGGAGCCCCGGCGGCACTCCCCCCCCCCCAACTAGAAACGGGGAAAAAGAGTGCTCGAGCAGAGAGCAAGGAGTCCTTGGGACTTCCTGCCCAAAGCCGAAAAGGGGCGCGAGCTCGTGATCTGCGGGAACTGAGATGGCAGTGAGGCGTCTGTAGCACAGGAACACCGGAAGACGCCTAGAGGCCACAAGGCACCCGGGAAGCTGTTGCCTGTATCCCCGTTTTCACTTACAGACTTACAGATCGCTCCTAGCTTAGCATGAAGATGCTTGAAGCAAGTGTCGCTTCACATAGCTGCTTCCACGGGCCAAAGCTTGCCTATCTGCAGCACCCGCTTTGAAAATTTGTATTCTGCCCAAACGCACTTGTGGCAGGCAGGGTGGCACATTGTCCACGGAGCCTGATGTCCCTATCGCCCGCAGGCAATGCCAGGACAACAGACGGCTTCCACGGCCTGGTAAGGCCGCGAACTAGAACACTGGGTGCGAGGTGCCAGGCTTGCAGCCTTCCTGTTGCTCCCCATCATAGCCATGAACTCATGTCAGCTACTACCTGGCTGCTACGGCATCCTCTGCGCAGGCGTGGCGCCAGATTCTTTACACTTACCTGGAATCAACTGGATAGTCCTTCAACATCGCTGTGGGGACTCCACGTGTTGGTTGCGAAACGCAGCCCCAGGCTTGGTTCCCCAAATCTGCAACCCCCTCTTGTACTGCAGACTTCTTTTAAGACGAAATTCGAGCAACCAGCACTGCTCAACCAGAGTCTTGAAAAAATCGCCTCGACAACCTTCGCTCTGCTCTGGTTGGCACAAAAGTCTGCTTCAGCCCCATCCACGACATGGACTTCAAGAAGCCCGCATGTCAGTGCTAGAAAAATTATGGGCCTCTGATCTCTGAAAACATGTCTGTCAGCAAGCTACGAAACATTCAGGAACCAGAGAATATAACAAGCCCTGCTGGCCTTCGGCTGTTTTCAGCTGACCACTCCCGCCCAATCAAAGACTTCGACACCGCCAGGTGTTGCAAAGAGACTGTACCTAGACAAACTGCCCGCATATGCTAGACCACCAAGTGCTCTTTCAGACTATTGTTTCACCTAAGAGGTGGCCGACCATGCGGACTACCAGAAAAAGGTTGCACTTTGGCAGCAGCTCACAGACACTGATTGCAAAGCTGGAATGCTGCCGATCGCCGTGCCGTGGTACAGCCCGAATTTTCATGCACCTTGCAGATCTCCGCAGGCGGTTCACCGACTAAACGTCGAGGTGTCCAAGACCCACAGACAAACACATCCCGCAGACGTCTTTTTAGCTTGGTCACAGGCTGCTTTGATGTTCTTTCGAAGGAGTTGGTTCCTCGACATGCTACCCACGAGGCACGAAGCACGGAAGGTTTCCCTGGCAGGACAGGCAAAGCATAACTCAGCCCTTTCGCAGCCCGACTCACGCCACTTTGTGTGAGGGTCGGCTCAAGCTTTTACACCAGCAGGAATGGGTCTCCCCAAAGCGATAAATCACAGTCAGCTCACCCGGCGGCTGGGATGGAAACATCCTGGCTTCAGAAGTGTCCGGCTTGGTTTTGGAAGGGGGCAACGAACTCAACGTCTCTTCGCTCCTCCGGGTGTCCTCTTTTATTTCCATGCAATTTTGGTCACGGTCTCCTTCAGGCCAGGCATCCAGACGCCATGCAAAAGAAGCACCGAAAAAACGCCCCCCCCCCCCCCTCCGCCGCCTCATGACGCTGTAGCAGGTGCTGAGGCCGGTTGCCTGACCTTGCAGGGGAGAGGAGGCTCCAAAGATCTCCGCCAAAAAAATGAAGGCACGGTCAAAAGCCAATGCATCTCCGGCCCTGGCCCCAAGCACCCGGGAGGAGTGAAAGGCTGTCGGACGTTTGAAGCTGGTGTCCTTATTCAAAGCGCCGAAGAAAGTGCGACGCATGTCAGGTCAGGTGGAAAAGCTTGCTGATGACACCCCGAACAGCTGTTAGGAGCTCAGAGCGGCATCTTGCTAGCTGAGATCTGCCCGTTTGCAGCCGGCCTTCAAACCCCAAACATCGGGGTACTGTAGGGTCTCGACTCTCGACGGCCAAGCCATGCGAGAGGCGGCCGGGCACGGGCTCTCTTTTCGCTACTTCGACTCATGGTCCGAGGGCCTTCTCGGATGCCCTCGGACCTCCCGCCATCAACCTGAAGCCCTCTTTTCGGACGCAGGGCCTATCAACAAAGGGAACACCGATGGCTTGGAGCCAACGCGTGGCAAGGGACTCTGAATCCCCGTCTCAGCTCGCGGCGCTCAGTGTTTTTCGAACCTCAGAATGTGGACTTTGGACAACAGGACGTCCACGCGCAACTGCCGAGGCGAAGGCAAAGTTCTTGCGGAGCAGCATGCTTCGGAAGACGTTTCGCTGAACCTGACAAGTGGTTTCAAGTGGAAACTGACACCGGCTAAGCAGCAAAATGCACCATACTGAGTGTGTCGGGGCTGTTAATGCTCCAGCCTGAGGGGCCTAACATACACCCCATCTGTACTGTGTTGTTCAAAGGCATTTGGGGGCGCTTCCTTTTGCTGCGCTAGGCCGCTAGGACTACCTGTCATGCATCCTCGAGACGCACCCGATCATGGCACTTCACGGGCGGTTTGTGTTGAGCCCGAGACAGCACGCCGGCGCTCGGCGGCGAGGATGGGTGTAATGTGGTCGGCAAACCAGGCATCGCTTTGTGCCTGCGTGTGACAGCCGGTCTTTCACTGAGACTTGGACCCTTGCCATGGCCAATCATCGCCTTGATGCAGCTCTGCAAATCCGTGTTGCTGGTTTCCACCTGTGCAAACGTGCAGAAGGCCCTGTGCAAACTTGCAAACTGCGATGCGAACGGACGGCGATGGTGTCGAGCCTCGTCCAAAGCTTGCTGCCGCCAGGCGGCCGGATCCTGGCGTGTGGGCACGGGCTTCGAGGCTTCTCCCTTTCAAAGGCACTGGCCGGGCTGTCCGCAAGGCGCAGGCCATCTGCCAGGTCCTGCTTCTCTCGTTGATGCTCTTTGATCGCTGTCGGCTTTCGGCTTTCGGGTCTCTGCTTCAAGAGGCGATCCTGGAAGCCCAAGTCGTCTGCCAAATCGACCCAGTTGCAAAGGCCAGTCTTGTTCCGCGCCTGAGGAGGAGACTTTAAGCAGCAGCCTCACAGAGAGCTTCGAGGGAAACTGGGGCACGGGCCCCGCGAGCTGCCAAACAACGACCGATGATGGCAATCACCTGGCGGGCAAAGCACGGAAAAGGAGGCTAAGAGTCCAAGTTCGACAAAGAGAAAAGAGCTCTTACCCTCTATACCCCTATACTACTCATGAGTATATTTATTACTCATTAGTTTACTCCCTTATTACTCCCTTATCCTTAGCCGGCCCCCGGGGGGCGGGCGGAGACTCGGAGAAATCGCTCGAAGTTCTCACAGCATCCGTAGTACCTGAGAAGCGGAGAGCTGCGACCCAAAGACTTCGGGTTTCCGCAGAGTCCGGAGCTCTTTGATCTTTTGCTCCAGGACTTTCCGGTCCTCCGGATCGGTGCACCTGGTCTTTTGGAGGGAGCAACAAGCAGCCTTCATCGCGGCTTTTGGCGGTCTCTTTTTCTCGGGCGGAGGCTGGCTCTGCTCCACGGAGAAGCGACGGACGGACTCCAAGAACCGCTCCTCGAGGAACCCAAACACCGAGCAGAGATCGGAGCGGAGCTCAGCGCCCTTAGCCTCCGTGCCCGCTCGGTAAAGGGACTCGGCGCAGATGACCATGTCGTGGGGCCTGAGTCCATGTGTCAAAAGTGGCAGCTCTCATGGGAGTGAAGTCTGGGAGCCCCCGCTCGTGAAACACCAAGAAGCACGCCCACTCGTAAACGCACCTGAGGATTCATCTCCGATTCCCCAGAGTTTTTCGCTCGGGGGCTCGGCTTTCTTGGCACGCTGCCAAAGTCGTTCCAGGTAGGACCAGGTGAAGATCACGACCATGCCGTGGCAGAGCTGCATGAATTCCTCGGCTGAAGCTGCGGTGGGTTGTGGATGCTGCACACTGATGGATGATGAGCACTCGGCTTCAATGAGCTGGATGGACAAGGACATAAACTCCTCATCGTTCTGACCTCGGTGGCTGCGACTTCGCCGAGCTTGAATCTATGCCATTTACGGCTTCCGCCGAGAGACGAATGCAGCACTTATCGATCCAGAAGCGTGCCTGTCTTGCCCGATTCGTGCTCGGGCTCAGGGTGAGCAAGCAGATTTCAACTGTTGGACCCTTGGAAAAGAAGCCTCCTCCCAGCGACTGGCATCACGAAGGTACTCGGCAGAAAGGTCCTCAAGGGAGTAACACCACAGAAGCGGCCACAAACCGTCCACCCTGATGCGCCTTCGCGGCAATGCAGAGCTCAGCAGCCTCCAAAGAGTCGCGCAGACTCGGCATAGACTTGCGCTAGCCGCTAGCTTCTCTAAATCCACGGGGCCTTGATGGCCTCGTAGCTGCACTTTTCGCCTGGTCACGACGAGAAGCGTTTACCATCAACGAACGACGCACTTGAGTGCAACCCGTGCCGTTTTGTTTACACTAAGGACACCGCCCATGACCTGATGCCAGTCCTGCGTCCCAGCCGATCAGAGTGCATGCAACTCGCACATGTTCGAGTTATGAAGGCACCTGCGGGGGCCACCAGCTGTGGCTGACCTCAAGCATCAATAGTGTTCTACCACCATGCATGCATATATACCTACCCGACCTGCCTACCTAAAATTTCTACTTTTGCGAAGCCAACTGGTATGACTCAAAACCCTACAGCAGCCAAACACATGCGTTCAATACCAAAGCTTTACATCTGTGCGAATGGTTAAGTCGGTTAAGTAGTTGTGCATGCTTTTAGCCGCAAGCAATACTCCAGACAGTTAGTACCAACTGCCACAATGGCTCCTGCTGCCTACTCAACTGCGAATGGCCTGTACGCGAGGGTATCCTGCTTGCAGTGTCTGCGTTCCAGTCAATCACATTGGACAGTTTTTACGATACTGCCTCCAGTGATGCCTGCTGTTAATCCGACGCAAACACAGGTGCATCAGTCGAAGATTCTGGCCGACATCCGGCTCAACAGCGACAGAGGAGGGAGGGCAGAGGTTCGCTTGAGCTGTTAAAAGGAACAGGGTTCCGGGACCAAAGGGGCTACTTTGTAGGAAACGGGGTTTCCAGTTCAGGTTCGTTCTTCAGGCGGCGGGGCCGCTCTTCAGAGATCACAGGCCTGGGGCTTGGGACTTTTCAGAAGGGTTTTGGGGTTGTAGGACCTCAGGGTCTTCGAGTCTTAGGGTTCGTAGGGGCAGGACCGGGCTACCAAGTTCACATTGGTAGCGGAGCCCGGCCTGTCGTTATCTAGTGGGGTGATAGATAACGGAAACAGGGGAAATAGTAAGGTAGGTAGCCCACCGTAGTCGGTGCCATGGCCAGTGCGGGAGATGAGGGTCCCACTGCAGCGGGGGCCGGCAGCGCAGCAGGGTACGGTCATCTTCCGTGGCAACACATCCCAAAGTTTGTGCCAGGCACGACGAACCTTGATGATTATACCCAGCGCTTGAAGTTCCTCAAGGAATTATGGCCAGCCGATAGCATTCAACATTTGGGTCCACGGGCGGCTCTTCAAGTGGAGGGCTCAGCTTTCCAGAAGATCAGTAGGATTGCTCCGGAGAAGCTTCGCAGTGAAGAAGGAGTCAAGCTCATCGTGGAGGCCCTTGGGGGAGCATGGGGCAAAACTGCGGTTGAGGAGAAGTTTCACTTCTTCGAGCAGGCGATCTTTCAGGTGTCCCAGAAAAATGACTAAACCAACGATTCCTATCTAGCACGCCATGATGCTTTCTTTGAAGAACTACTTGCGCGCAAAGTCACCATGGAGGAAGTGCGCGCCTACGTTTTACTACGTCACAGCCAACTCGCCCCAGAAGATAAGAAGCGGGTGGTCATTGAGTCCGAGGACAACCTCAAGTACAAAGAGACTGTCAAAGCGATGAGATTGTTGGGCTCCAAGATTTTTTGGAGATCTTCAGAACAAGAGTGCCGCAGGAAA